CATTTAATCCACTCAGAGTTATCTCTCTTATCAATGAACATTAAAACGGGAGATCATTTTATATCTTAGATTTCCTTTTAACAATTTTACTGAAAAAGTTTATCTCAGCCAAGGAAATGGACAAATTACAGGGCTTTTCAATTGTGTACAGATAATAAAGGCTCGATGGGACTGGTGTGCGGATAGGGATCGGAAGTGTTTTATCAATGGACAATCACTTGGGAAAATCAGAGAAATGATGTTGTTTAAATTTATGCTTATTATACCATCAGTGATGGCTTCTGTTTTTTCTCTCAGTGGGAAATTCAGTAGTTGAAATCCTAGATTCGCATTTATCAAAGTCACTAAAGGTAATATATTTGTTCAGGAAACTGGTTTTATTTGTCATGAAATAAGCATGACATATGAAGATAACGAACAATATTTAATCTCATACATGTAAGTCCAAAGAAACGATACAAATTTGGAGCAGAGCAAACACGGACTTCAAAATTTAGAGGTGGGATCAGGTGCCATGGAGGAGTGAGCATCCCCTACTAACCGGTCACACCCGCCGTGTGCTCCTTGTCATAATCGGGGGGAAAAGGGAAAAATCCGTGGACAGTTCAGTGTATAAATAATGGCCTAACAATTAGTATGAAAAACGTTAGTAAGCATTTGACTCAATAATGGGTTGAATGTACTGACAAAGTTATTGCATCGATTATAAAACTTGCAAAATGATGACTTCAAACTATACTGTTGAAATCCTTGTTTCATTAACTTGTTTGACAATAGCTTGCCTCGTTTTAGAAATCGTTCATATGTGAGTATGCTCTTGCTTATCGAATCAACTGGGAGAGATAAACCCCATATGCAGGAGATAAGAGTATATTGCTACATACGTCAGGGAAGTTGACGATTGAAAAGTTGAAGTCATCATGTTGTCATAAAGCTTTGTTGTTAGGTTTCCATTAACGTCTTTATCTAGTAAAATATCTAAATATGAAAACAGATGTGTCAGACTCCGGTTGTATCTTTTTTTCAAGCTCGCTGGGGTATATGGAGTCGACATATGAATGGAATAAACTATTGTAAATTGATAATACTGCGTCGATATATAGAAGTTAAGTGATCCACTTACTTCAATATTTTACATGATGATCTCAGAAATGAGGCCTCTCGATTGATAAAGACAGCAAATTCTGCAAATACTGCATGTACACATATCTCACAGGAATTTCTCAAATCGAAAATTTCAGAGTTCAAACCCAGTTGCCAATTATATGTGTAGCTTGATCCCTTGATTGACCAGCTAGTAAACTTTATATTTATAACATACAGTGTACCTGTCTCTCATTGGTTATTCTGTTACAGAAAATAAAACCCAACGATTTGAAATAAATTCATTACAAAGCACTTTTCTTTTGGATTAAAGATTACAAGACACACCCTCCTAGTAAAATGAAATATACGGAGACAACAAATAGCACCCAAGCCCAAAACTCCATTAAACAATCCAAAATAGGAGCAGAGCAAACACGGAACTCCAAAACACCAGAGGTGGGAGCAGATGCCATGGAGAAGTGAGCATCCTCTGCCGACCGGTCACACCCGCCGTGTATTCCTTGTCATGATCGGGAAATAACGGAAAAATCCGTCGACAATTCAGTGTGTAAATGATGGAACAACTAGCATGAAAAACGTCGGTCAGCATTTGACTCAAAATTAATTTGTTTTTGCTGACAAGGTCATTGTATCGACCATAGAACTTACGAAATGATGAGTTAAAACGAGACTGCTGATCTTCTTGTTTCATCAACTTGTTTGTCAATAACTTACCTCGTTTTAGAAATTATACATACGTAGAGCATTCTCTTGCGTATCGAATCAACTGAGACATATAAACCCCGTATGCAGGTGATCAAGGTATATTGCTGCATGAGTAATGGAAGTTGACGATTGAAAGGTTAAAGTCATCACGTTTATCATAAAGATTGGTTGTTAGATTACCATTAACGTCTTTTTCAAATAAAATATCCAAATATGAAACAGATGTGTCAGCTCTGTGGTATCTTTTATCTCAAGCTCACCGGGATATATCGTATCGCACAAGAATGAAAATAGCCATTGTTAATTGACAATACGTCGTCGATATATCTAAATGCCGAGTTGAAGGCCACAGCAAGCGTTTTCCTCTTTTCACGTATAAGTATAAGATTTTGGACAAATAAAAACCTCCTGTAAAACTGTTTTTAATTAAAATATTTACTGATGTTGTTGCAAAATTATAGAAAGTTATTGAACTTATATTGGTGAATTTTAGCACGAGTTGACTGTACAAATGCACTCGCAAGCTTGTGCATTTGTAGAGCAAGTAAGTGCCAGTATTCACCAATTTAAGTTCAGTAACGCCTTTATTATATAGCTAAATAACTTTTTTTCATTTTTTTTATAAATATTGTTTTAATTAAATAACTCGAAATAAATAAGTAGTTCTTCAGTACCGGTATATGTATTTAGATAAAAACTACTTGCGCGTTCAATGTCACATCATTCCAATTCCATTATTATGGTTTTCATTGAGGCTTACAGGTACTTAATTATTTATTAATAATTTCAATTTTGTGTGAAAATAGACTTATCTGACCTAGCTGCCACTACCCATTCTAAATATTATCGTTGAGCGGTTGACCAGACCGACTCCCTTGCAGAATTGTCGTTCGTTCCTTACTCAGACACCTCTGCAATTGGCTCGCGTCCACAGATATATTGGGACGGGACATAAACGATCAAACATTGTGAAATTCGCTGGGTTTTTTTTTTCACGAGAAGAAAATATTTCGTTTGTGCACGGTAAATATATGGGGAATGAATATTTCTTCAGAACTTTCCATCTTACTTCTATAGATTTTTTTTTTCAAAAAGTCTTTTTGAGGAAAACAAAATCAATAGCACGTGTTCTCTTTCATTTGTTTTCTTGTGTGTGAAAATGGCGTTTTCCGATTGGACAGAAGAATATTTACCTCCACATGAAGTATATTTATACCAACCTCAGTTATCATTCTTGATTTCCATATTTAGAAATAGTCCAGATCTGTCAAACAACATTATCAAAAAACAGAAAATTTCAATACCTTACAAAACGTGTACTGAAAAAGAAAGAAGCAGCAATTTTTCCTAAGTTTCATCGCTCCGAAAATTAATAAAATATCTTAAAGAATGGAGACTTACAAGGCGAGGACAATCCCCCACTCTGGGAAAGGCATTTCTCAATTCTAAAAATTCATGAAAAGTTATATTTTCTGAAAATGTATTGTCATTTATCATCTTTTACACATTTTCTTCCTTTCTTTCATTGAATAAATTATAGATAAAAAAAATTCACTCATGTTTTAAGGTATCTGAAAAGAAAAAAAGCTTCATGCAGGATTCTAACTCTCTCCACAGCTTGCGGTTCTAGGCGCAAGAGTGTACGCGCTAACCAATAAGCTACGAAATTAATTTGTCTTCGATGTGTGTCAGTTTGATTTTAATAGACGAGTTTGTTGAAGCGTATATTTTTTTCAGAAATCTTCGATTTTCACATAGAATAGGTCCAGACTCCATTTTTGGAAACATGAAAAAGATTTCACATTTACTTTAATTCAAACATTAATATAGAATAGAGACTAGGCCAATTCATGTTCAAAAATCATTTTTATGGCTCTAATAAACCCATTTTCCACTAAATATGCTTAATTGTCAACTTTAAAAAAAATATCAATCCACAAGTCGTTCATTAAAATAAATCAATCAAATGAGGTAAAGATGACATTACTGAAAATATAATTTGAGAAAAATATTTAATATATAACTTTTCCATGAACTTTTAACATTGAGAAGAGCGGGAGATTGTCATTGCCTTGTATGCCCTCTTTCTTTCATAGTAAAACAGGATATATACAAGAGAACGTAGTTACAGGGGATTTACACTGATATATGTTTCATATACATGTAAAAAAAATCAGGAAGATACAGGAATCACATGTGTGTTTTAACTGATTTTCATTATATACGTTAACACTTTAATGACATAGTTCTATCAATTCAATGATCCACAAGTCGTAATAGGTTATGAAAATACCGAAAAATAAATATTTTCCTGGTATAATTTGGTTATTTCTAAGGAAACTTGGTATAATTTTCTATGACTTTTTTTAGTGCCTCCTTTCCTGTCCTTGACATTAATTTCAATTAAAGAAGTATATGACTGTGACGTATAATATTAAGGTTGTTATCTTGGGTCTGTAGAAACATTTTTTCATATAATGATATTTACGTAAAAATGATCACATTAATGTATGAGTTCCCTCCCCCTTTTGTTTCTGACTAGTTTATCAAATTTTCAGAATATAGAATATTAAGTTAAACGTTAAATTATGTTTGCTTCCTTGCGCAGGGAACACTCCCTTCCGGATGTTAAATCATAATTATGGAAATCAAAATATTGTTTCCCCGTCTTCTTGGTTCGTGAAATTTTGTAATCTACAAAATACAAAGAAGCAATTAAAAATATTGGACACTTTTATTCTAGTCACAATTTTGTGTTAAAGGAATCACTGTCTAGTTTGTTGGGTATGCCAGAGCATCAACGAGAGTTGGAAACGTGGGATAATTTGCATAAAGGGCGAAGTCCTTGCTTCCTTATATTTACATTTTATATGTGAATTAAATTTGTAGATATAAATAAAAAATGTTGTCTAATGTATTTGTTAAAAAATACACGAGACCTCCCATGTTAATTTCAAGAGTCACCACCTACTGACGTCAGAAACGAAGACAGCCACACAAGACTGACATGAATATTAAGCTCCTGACCTTTTTCCTTGCGAAATTTACATTCAGGTGTAATTACCAAGAAATTAACTCACCTAAGTTTCAAAATGATATCAAGAAGAAAATAATTAGAAATGTAAATATAAAAAATCACTCACGGACAACGTCTGTTCTGTTTTAATTTATTTTGTACAATAATTATGATTCACTGATGATTCATAAGCGTCTTCGTGTCTTAATTATTCATAAATGTACATGAATAAAAGGAGGGTTTCATAAACCAGTAAAAAAGCAAAATAGCAATTATGAATCCAAAACTTTTTTAAGTGTTGTTTGAGAAAAATATATCCCATTGCCTGGTACGGGCAAAGTGTTATTTTCCTTGTCTCAAAGTTCGCGCATATATGTTAATCATTATTAGTACTTGAACAAATCACGTGTTTTCTTCGATCTCCGTGTACAATGTGTCATTTATATCACCTGCTTTGAAATCATCGTGTGTTGAGTGCAAATATTCTGAAAGAAAAAAAGATTCCATGAACAATTATTTTTTTTTTTAAATGCATGTAAACCCTGATAATAAAACTGAAGAAACAAATATGGCTCAAAAATTCAGTATTTGATTCTTTGTACGTTTTAGAAGACATCGTGCATAATCACACATGTAGTCATAATAAGGGTTATTCTTTGCTGAACAATTATATTTCCTTGAATAATTTTCATTTCTTGTTTCATAAATTTACCCGAACCCGATGGATACTGCTCAGTCATGCTATTCATTTTATGCAATTTTTGATCTTCTTTTACGTCTGCTTCATCGAAGCGTTCTTCTGACGAAGGAGGATTCTATACAAATAAAACCTCTTTTATATAAAATGGTTAGGGAAAGATGTAATCCGTGAAATATTTTAAAGTATGGTACAAAGTAGTGAATATCAGAGGATTTTAAAAAAAAACTTAACTGCACTTAAAACAAAGTAAACGGAATCCGCAACATTGCTTTCATCCTTAGGAGAACAAAGCTTAGCTTCTGCATCGCCCTTTTTCTGTGGCAAATACAATCCAGTATTCAGAGTTGCACATTCGGTTAACTGGTGATACTCTTGAGTCATATCCGACATCTTGACATCATTGTTCACAACAATCGTGTTCACATTTGTTTCTGTGACAGCTTTACATTCTTCTCTATTGGCTAATGTATTTTTATGTTTGTGTTTTTTAGCTTCCACTGTTACATCATTTATAGTAGTCCTTTGTGTCATATGGTGATATTGGTGATACTGTGGTTCTACATAATCCATATCTTCCTGAAATTTTTCTTTTGGTCCATCATTTTGAAAAGGGGGTTCACTCATGTCTATCTGTACAATCATAGAGGGTGATGCATGTAGGTCTTCGAATCTAGGAATTTTGCTATTTACACAACGGTGTTTTCTAATGTCATCTGTTTTTTCTCCTCGTAGCAGAGTTTCTTCCACCTATAATGAAAAAGGATGAAGATAACGAACAGTAATCGATCTTATAAAAAAACTTCAAAAAACACAAATCTGTGAATAGGGCATAAGCACGGACTCCTAGAAATTCTGGAGGTGGGATCAGGTGTCTTGGAGGAGTAAGCATCCGCCCTATGTATTGATCAAATAGACAGAACATTCCGAAGTCAAATTTAGTATAAAAACAAAGGTCTAACAATATTTAGAATTAAAAACAAGTCCTTTCAAAATACAATTATAATAATAAGTCTTACAACAAAGACGATATTGCTACAATCCTTGTCTGCTGGAACCATTATATTTTGTCCAGTAGTCGCTATCATGCTTTTATCACCTCTTATTTAGTGAAAACGGAAGGATAGATGACAAAATAGTAATTTCTCATTCCTTTTACAAACTGATTCTTATTAATCTTATATTGATATTATGAGATTTCTCATTGACAATTTTAAAAGATAAATCAATGACAAAGGTATATATTATACATGTAATGTTTCAAATTCTTACTTTAAAATTGTCCAGAGTGTAAGGAATTTCTGAATATTCTGTGATATCACTAAATATATCTTTTCTAACAGTGATATTTTTGCTTTGTTTTTCCTCACTCACAGGCAGACTTTTCGGCACCCTAAAAGAAAATTATTTTATCGTAGTATACATTAACAGTCTTATATAAGGTACGTTAATTTGTTTGAAATTACTATGTCAAATTTACTCTTCTAAATTTTCATTATATATTCGTTATCTTTCACGTTTACCTCCATTCTCGATAAAGCATTTTTTTTTTTGCTACTTTAGATAAAATAAGGAGTAAGGGCCACTTAGGGCCTTTTTGGCCCTGTGAATTTCTGAAAATTCAAAACTGCATAGTTTTATTCGGCAAGTCAATAAATAATACATATCTAAATTCAGTGTTATTTTCTTGATGAAATCCATTAGAAACCTACGACGTTCAAATCTCTATAAAGCACACGAAACCTAGTCACCGCGCGGTAGAATAAACAGTTAGAACTCTATGCATTTTCAATATCTAGGAACATCAAAATATTCATATTGTTTTGATTCAATTTAATAATAAAAAAAAAAACCTGTTTAATTAACGTAAAATACAACAAATGTGCGTTTAAAATAAATCTGTCCTTTTTTTCTCGCAATATTCATTTGCGTTATTTAACTTTCCACCGTCACAAACGGCTCTTACGTCTATTAAGAACACAAGTTCTGGAAGGCGCGAAATTCATAATAAAGATTAACGAAATAAACATTTATGAAGAGAGAAAATTAGAGAATATAAATATAAGCATTATTTTTTTTTATTTTTGGATGCCATAATGCATTTACTAGCAAAATAATTAGGTCTTTTTCAGTAGATATTCATTCACCAAGTTTCAAATAAGTTTTGAATTATTGAATTATTTTTGGATGCCGTTGATGCTATAACACACCTGGCCTGGCTGTGCTGACAAATTATTATACCGCGCCAATAATCTTCTTCCTAGTACGAGGGGTGATCAAAAAGTTCGCGAACTATCTCTATATTTACAAAACCACAATTCAGATCAGAATGAAATTTGCCACACATATAAACATACACATGTTCTATAAATAGCAGTTATATAATGTTTTGCTCCGTGTTTGTGATGTCACAATGTGAAAATGACGTCAATATGTAGGTGACTTGAAAAAAGGGTTGACTCAGTCGTACTCGAGCAAAGAACGGCTGTAAAGTTTAATGTATATCTTCGAAATTCCTTTGCAGTAGAATATAATAATTTGTATAAGGTTTATGAAGACGAAAGACCTACCAGAAGTTCAATCATTAATTGGATTGATTGTTTTAATGAAGGCAGGGAGATGGTTAAAAATGATGTTTGTTCTGTTGCCCAGCAAAAGCAAGCCGGGAAAAGGATGTGTTCTTAGTTGAGCAAATTGTTATGAAAGATCGCCAAGTTACAATTAGAAAAATAGCTGAATATCTTAACAATAATATACTTATAAAATCCCTAAAATATCGATTACTTTAGACTTTAAACTTATGAGATATTATAAAAAGAGGTCGCCCATACTTTATCCACATCGGATAAACGACGCTCTCGAGACAGAGGACTCAGGTTTTGATGATCACCATGCTAATTCTGGGAAGGGATGTCCTTATCCACCCATCCTATTGCCGAGATTTGGCCATTTCTGACGGATGGACTGTTCTTGTTATAAAAAATAACTTGCATGGTAAGAAATATAAGACTCGGGAAAAATCTTTAAGCTTCTGTGAACAGAACGCCACAGAGCATGACACGTGACCGCCTGGATCACGTGATTCGCGCATGGGCAGAACAGTGGCAGATGTGCATTATAATCAGAGAGGACTACTTTAAAAAATAATGAGCACTGAAACCTCATTTTATTTCTTTTAAGGAAGTAATTCAATTAGTTCGCGAACTTTTTGATCACCTCTCCTAAATACATTATGACATCATGAATTGCATCGTTATTCACATATCCTGAATATTTCTTCAAAAATGGCCAAAATATGATATTTTCAATATTTTGTATACAGCGCAACCTCCCATCAAAAATGTGTAGATGTATTATAAAAGAACTGTTAATGAAGATTACAAAACATATTTTTTGATAGAGGGGTATACTAATATTTTAATTCTTTGTTGAAGATTCTCAAAACACCTGTTTTCTGCAAAATCCAATAACATTGCAATTTCACACATCCTGTTTTCCAGTGCCTGGACTTTTCAAAGAAAATTCTGTTATATAAACTGAAAGCAGGAAGTTTCTTATTTATATTAAAGTTGAAAATGGTACACAGGGTTTTAGTCAATAAATTAGTTAATCTACAGGGCCATTTATGCATGAAGTGAACCTAGCTCTTTACTGGCATCCTATTAATATGTATTTGCTTACCTCTTGAGATATACATAAGTGACACATACTCCTAGAAAAATTCCAAACACTGTACCTCCTAAGCAGAGGATGGCGTAGAATCCTGGATTATTCTCTGAAAGTGAGTGGGAAGAGATTGATATAATTTTTCCTTTGATTTCAATAAGAATGAGAGTTGAGGATTAATTTTCTAGTGTAATATCATTTTCCATGCTTTTGCTAGATATGAAATTGAAAATGCATTTACGAAGATTTTGTGTTCATGTTTACAATATTAATGTATATGCGTCATTTAAAAATATATGTGTCATGTTTCCTGTCATTTTATGGCCCCTAAATTTTGTAAATTAGGAGCAAACATTTCTTCAAGAATCAAAAATCACGTCATTAAGTTTTAAGAAGATGAAGTTGATTATGTACGTATTGATCAAGCAAAATGAGTAACCAGTCTCTTACTCAAACAAAAAAAAATACCTTTGATATTTTGTGAGTGACATATATATCCTTCCTTGAAAGTCGATGTTCCTTCATTTATTTCGTCATTCCTGCTGGCAATCACATGACTGGATTCATTCTGGCAACTCTTGCCAAACGTTTTATCTTGACCATATCTGAACTCAGAGTTATCAAATTCACAGAGCAGATTAGGAGCTTTAAGATTACTACCAGTTTTAGTCTCATTTAAGTTTACAGTGCTTTCTAAACTTCTCTTCTGTCTTTTTTCTTTAAAGAAGCAATTGGATGTGTAACATGTTTCTGTATCATGTACCATTATGCAGAGAAGCAATGAATCCTTTTTCATTTTATCCGAGAGAGTAAAGATTCTGCAATCAGTATTTTTGGCGCATTTTTCAAGGTCAACCCACATCCTACTACCTGAATTCTCAAAAAAAAGAGAAAATTTACTTCATAGACTTGCAGCTGTGTTTTGTACACAATATATCCGAGACATGTACGCAAAGACCAAGCATAATTGCTAGTGAACTACTTTTACTGAAACGTGCAATGTCCGTTTTGTAAGGTTTATAGATATCTTTATAAAAAGGAGGGCATGCTAGACTACTTGGAGAAATAAACATTAAAATAAATTTAATTTAAAATAATATCATCTTAATATTTAAACGTAAATTTAACTGAATTAGCTATAGGATGTCATGCACTCTCTCCGTAATATTTCTGTTGATAGCGTAAAAAAATTCTTCAATCTTTTTAAATTAAAAAAGTGCGCCAAAAATGATAAGAGCTACTCTTTAGATGTAGGAACTTTTGTCAAGAAGACCGCCTGAAAATATTGTAATGAAATTTGACCATTTTGCTGTAAAGTAATTTAAATCTATTTTGAATAATTTGTAAATCATGGTTATGTGACTTTGTACAGTCATATACGTTTAAAATATATAATACAAGATGTGTTTGTGAAACACTGATGATGCCCCCATATGGCAGCTTATGGCGAAGGTTAAAGTTTCTCAAATGCAAGTCAAAATCCAGGCCAAAAGATAAAAAATGTTGGTACCCAAAGAAAGGTCTTGTTTCGAGGAATATACCTGTGAAATTTGAAAGCCCTAGCTGCAACTGTTCAAAAGGTATGGCGAAGGTTAAAGTATCTTAAAAGTAAGTAAAACGTCAAAGTCAAGGTCAAAGTTGCTGGTATCCAAAGGAAGGTCTTGTCACAAGGATTACATATGTGAAGTATGAAAGCCCTAGCACCAACCATTCAAAAGTTATGTTCAAGGTTAAAGTTTTTCAAAGTAGGTCAAACTCCTATGTCAAGGTCAAAGGGTCAAAGTGGTTGGTATCCAAAGGAAGGTGATGTCGCAAGGATTACATATATGAAGTATGAAAGCCCTAGCATCAACCATTCAAAAGTTATGGCCAAGGTTAAAGTTTTTCAAAAATTGGTCAAACTCCTATGTCAAGGTCAAAAGGTCAAAGTGGTTGGTATCCAAAAAATGCTATTGTCACAAGGAATACACATGTGAAGTTTGAAACCCCAAGCACCAACTGTTCAAAAGTTATGGCCAAGGTTAAAGTTTTTCAAAAGTAGGTCAAACTCCTAGGTCAAGGTCAAAGGGTCAAAGAGATTGTTGTCCAGAGAAAGGTCTTGTCACAAGGAATACACATGTGAAGTTTGAAATCCCAAGCACCAACTGTTCAAAAGTTATGGCCAAGGTTAAAGTTTTTCAAAAGTAGGTCAAACTCCAAGATCAAGGTCAAAAGGTCAAAGTTGTTGGTATCCAAAGGAAGCCCTTGTCACAAAGAATACACATGTGAAGTTTGATACCCCAAGCACCAACTGTTCAGAAATTATGGCCAAGGTTAAAGTCTCATAAAATTTTGCAAAAGTGGGTTAATCTCCAAGGTCAAGGTCAAAAGGTCAAATATGATGGTACTCAAAGAAAGGTCTTGTCACAAGGAATACACATGTGAAATATGAAAGTCATAGCTTCAACCAATTAAAAGTTATGGGCAAGGATAAAGTTGACAACAGACAGACAGACAAACAGATAAACAGACAAACAGACAGACAGGACAAAAACAATATACACCCGGGATCTTTCGATCCGGGGGCATAAAAATTTAAAAAGATATCTTACATGTTTTTGCTCCAATCAATTCATAAATTGCTTATGCCAAAATTTATTTTTATTCTTTTGGAATGAATAAGACTAAATGGATAACATTGTATTAAATATATAACATTTAACAATAAACGCTTTCATTTGTTGAAAGTACGGGAATTAATGTTGCAGCTATTGCAGAGAAATTGCCTAAACCGCGTAAGCGGGTTATATCATTTTTTTCTCCAATTACTGCAACGTTAATTCCCGTACTAACAAACAAAAGAAAGACGTTTTATTGTTTATATTTATATCTGTACAAATAATTATTTAAAGTAGAATTTAGTAGATGGAATAGTCTATTGATATGTACGACATTGTACGTTTTATTGATGGAACAGCCACTGCTCAAGAAATCTGTAGACATTGCGAAGAGGTAATATGCTTAACCATGTTTACTGACTGATAAACGGCAATGGTTTTCTTAAGAAATAAAGGCAATAATATTCAATGTATGTCAATATTTTTATATTTCATCAAAGGTCTTTGAGTAAGAAAAGTTATTAAGAATTTAAGATTATATAAATGATCTTGCCTTTGTTTTGAAAGGACGAGAAACCACCTATCAAGTTTTCTAATTTCCGATGAAGATCTCTGCAAGAAAAATACATTTTCAAATTACATTTTTGTTCGATACAATATTATCAGATTATTACAAGGAATTACAGTATTGGATGGAGAGGACGGGGGCCGGAATTATATAACAGACTTCAGTCCAAATGTTCCGTCAGCTGTAAGATGTCTTATACACTTAATTCAGACAATAACGGTTTGATGACAAATTGTTGAATAGCGTTTTTTTTTTATTTCGAACTGGCTGATTTCTAAATCATTTCAACATGATATGAAGATTTCTACCGAAGTTCATTTGGGACTTTTCAAAACATATTTTCGAATTTAGTAAAACGAATCGTTGATTTGTTAAAACGATTCTAATTCGTAAGATAAATTTTTGAATTTGTTATAACGAAATCAAAAAATTCTTATAGCAAATTAAGTTACTTTAAACAAATTTCAAAATTCTTAAATATTTTATAACGGATTGAATTAATTAAATCGAATTGGACGTAAGGGTCTATAGAAAAAATATTTATGAATTTGATTTAACGAATTATCGAATATTGGTTTTAACGAATTTTATTCAAAATAATGTCAATAATTATCATTGTTAAACGAAATTTTAGAATCCGTTTCAATGAATTTATTTTTCGTTATTTCATTTTCTTGGACTTGTTACAATGAACTCACCAAATCCGTTATAACAGATTTAATTTGCTATTACAAATTCGACAATTGTTATATCGATTTTAAATATATATTAATAGGTCCTTAATGGGCTTCCGTAGATTTCGATATTTTACAATTTCGGTGCCAGTAGTTAGGTTTTTGCGCTTCGTTCTAGTGACGTCAGTAACAATGAAATGACAGAAGCTCAGATTTAATTAATACTTCTTGATGATAAGAACAGTTTCATACAGTAATGGTTGAGTGGCATTGTTTGTAGACCCTAAATCTGCTTTCCAAGGATGGACACACCTATTATTCTTCATTTGTGAAGTGGTGGTGCATGAAGTGTTGACAATAAGAATCTGCACTGAAAAAAATGTATGACAAAACATAATCCTTATCCATTAAAGAGATTATTCATTGTTTGCATCACTTCAGAATATACCAAAAGTGCTTAAATTGTCCATCGCGTCTTTACACCATGCGCCAACTTGTAAAAATACATGTGTAAATGCAATACATTACCAAAGAAGATATAGATTAATTTCCTAGTCGTACATATTCTCCATTTTTCCATTGCTTTCTTTATTCAGAATAAGTAAAATAGTACAAGGATTGTCAAAAACATATCGTTATCCTCTAATAGTATATGCAACCTCATACTGACAGGAAGTAACATAGAACACATGACTCAGAATAAAGGGCGGCATCTGCTATTTTTATCTAGTTTTTTCATATATTTTATATTCTCACGATCTACACATATATAGAAATATCCATTTCGCACTTTCTGAATTCGTATGACTGTCTTCGCTTCAAAAATATCAATTTGTATTTAAAGATATTGTCAAGATATGCTCATCCCTAGCATTAGTCAAATAAAGTCTTATAAAATTTCAAAAATCATTGTTTTCAGTTAGTCAAAACCTGAATTTCTTTACTCTACAGAAACAGGTACCTATAGCCAGGACGTAATAAAATAAATAGATTTTACTCTACAAGGCTAAATTTTAGTTACTTACTAGCAATTTGAACTGTAAGAGTAGATGTCAGTTACTGTAAGAGTAGATGTCAGTTACTGTAAGAGTAGATGTCAGTTACTGTAAGAGTACATGTCAGTTGCTGTAAGAGTAGATGGCAGTCACTGTAAGAGAACATGTTAGTTACTGTAAGAGTAGATGTCAGTTATTGTAAGAGAAGATGTCAGTTACTGTAAGAGTACATGTCATTTACTGTAAGAGTAGATCTCAGTTACTGTAAGAGAAGATGTCAGTTACTGTAAGAGTAGATGTCAGTTATTGTAAGAGTAGATGTCAGTTGCTGTAAGAGTAGATGTCAGTTACTGTTAGAGTAGATGTCAGTTACTGTTAGAGTAAATATTAGTTACTGTAAGAGTAGATGTCTGTTACTGTAAGAGTAAATGTCAGTTACTGTAGGAGTAGGTGTCAGTTTCTGTAGGAAAAGATGTCAGTTACTGTAAGAGTAGATGTCTGTTACTCTAAGAGTAGATATCAGTTACTGTTAGAGTAGATGTCTGTTACTGTAAGAGTAAATGTCAGTTCCTGTAGGAGTAGGTGTCAGTTTCTGTAGGAAAAGATGTCAGTTACTGTAAGAGTAAATGTCTGTTACTGTAAGAGAAGATGTCTGTTACTGTAAGAGTAGATGTCAGTTACTGTAAGAGTAGATGTCAGTTATTGTAAGAGTAAATGTCAGTTACTGTAAGAGTAGATGTCAGTTACTGTAAGAGTAGATGTCAGTTACTGTAAGAGTAGATGTCAGTTACTGTAAGAGTAGATGTCAGTTATTGTAAGAGTAGATGTCAGTTACTGTAAGAGAAGATGTCAGTTCCTATAAGAGTAGATCTCAGTTGCTGTAAGAGAAAATGTCAGTTACTGTAAGAGTAGATGTCAGTTACTGTAAGAGTACATGTCAGTTGCTGTAAGAGTAGATGTCAGTCACTGTAAGAGAAGATGCCAGTTACTGTAAGAGTAGATGTCAGTTATTGTAAGAGAAGATGTCAGTTACTGTAAGAGTACATGTCATTTACTGTAAGGGTAGATGTCAGTTACTGTAAGAGTAGATCTCAGTTACTATAAGAGAAGATGTCAGTTACTGTAAGAGTAGATGTCAGTTATTGTAAGAGTAGATGTCAGTTACAGTTATTGTAAGAGTAGATGTCAGTTACTGTAAGAGTAGATGTCAGTTATTGTAAGAGTAGATGTCAGTTACAGTTATTGTAAGAGAAGATGTCAGTTACTGTAAGAGAAGATGTCAGTTCCTGTAAGAGTAGATCTCAGTTGCTGTAAGAGTAGATCTCAGTTACTGTAAGAGAAGATGTCAGTTACTGTAATAGTAGATGTCAGTTATTGTAAGAGTAGATGTCAGTTACAGTTATTGTAAGAGTAGATGTCAGTTATTGTAAGAGTACATGTCAGTTATTGTAAGAGTAGATGTCAGTTACAGTTATTGTAAGAGTAGATGTCAGTTACTGTAATAGTAGATGTCAGTTATTGTAAGAGTAGATGTCAGTTACAGTTATTGTAAGAGTAGATGTCAGTTACTGTAAGAGTAGATGTCAGTTATTGTAAGAGTAGATGTCAGTTACAGTTATTGTAAGAGTAGATGTCAGTTACTGTAAGAGAAGATTGTTCGTTTCTGTACGGATTAAATACATGTATCAGTGAATTCAATTCGGACAAATGATAAAAATCCAGAGATATGCACTATTGTTAACCTTGTAAAGGAAAAATATGTAATAGATTTTTTAAATAAATCTGTTTTTATCATCTTTGAAATGCATTTAAACCCTAATCGTGAATCAGTCTAATTGAGCACCTCTTTTCAAATCCAAAAGGAAATTCTCCTATATTTTATTTGTGGAACTGATATTTTGAGTAAGCATGAAAACAAAAAGATATTTTGAAATAAATTTAAATAAGTAATAGGGCATGATTCACTACATTAACAACCAATATCATTATGTTTACGAATTTCATTTTTCTTTATTAAAAAATATCACATATAACACATTGAACTACTAAGAAATGTTAAACAACGGATTAAGGACAAAAATCTACTAAGAAATGTTAAACAACGGATTAAGGACAAAAAATCTTAAATATATCATCTACGAACAATGATTTCAAGTTCTAAGCAGAAAAAGTACAAAAACGAATGATCAAAATAGCATAGAAGGGGTACGAGTTTGCACCAGATGTGATTAAAAGCCACTTCCTTATTGTAGATTTTGTTTCCAAGATAAGCACTTGTAATTTTTCATACGATTTGTTAAATACTTTTTTACAGAATAAGATTACCACACATCCTGGATTTAAATAACATCCTTTTGCCAGTTGAAAGGAAGTAAGAATTACAGCTTTTTTTTACTCTATGTATTTGGATGATCGCTAAACACTAACTCATAGAGTGATCTAGTTTTTTAGCGCATAAAATGGAAATGAAGTTATTTATTATTGTGTTTTTGAAATGCATAAACATGAATATATCTCTCGAATTATATTTTCATTAACAAAAAAATCAAAAGCAATGTAATTGTATCCATTATTTCTGCTGAACAAATGATTTGATTGGAGATGATCAGTTGTAACATAACGCAGTTGTTCCCGAAAAAAACATAGTGATCGGTTGTTGCTTCTGTTTCCACGTCCTCACATTTTATGACCATAAATAAATATTGCCTGGCTTTTGTGGTGAAAGTTCAGTTTATTTTACATTAAACTTTGATTAAAAAAAATGAGTATCTGTACTTAAAGTAAGTAGAGTGAAGTATGTATAGTAGTATTAAATTTAGGTTCAAGTTTGTATAAATGCAGTACTGCTAAATGTACAAATATGGCTAACATCTTGTGTAAAAGCTCAAATTATATTGTTTCTTTACGATTAGGTCCAGGGGAGTGTGGACTTGCAAATACTGGAGTATGAAAAAAGGAAGATAACGAACGGTATTCAAGCTAAAATCCACTTAAATAATACAAATCGGAAGCAGAGCAAACACTGACCTCCAAAAATATCAGATGTGGGATCAGGTGCCATGTCTGTATAAAACATCCCGAAAACATTAAGATCCAGTGATTAATATATAAACCAAGACGATGAAACTAAAAATACATTGTTATACAATTTGCATATGTTATTGACGTTCCTTTAGTTAATCTTTCAGAAGCATTGATGTTTGGATAAAGTATATGTATAATCTTTTTTATTGTGACTTGCATACTTTTAATATTTTGCTTCGCTTTTTCAACACTTTCTCGTTTTAAAGAATTTGCTAGCTGAAAAATCCGCAAGTTTAAAATTACTTGGCAATAACTTACAGGAACTAACATTTTACTTTATTGAAGACAGATAGTAAAACCTAATGTATATTCTACATCCATCTCAAGTATCAAAATATTGATCGTAAGCAAATTTGTCTAAAGTAAACACTCCAACAAGATATCAAATTTTAATTATTTTAATTATGTATCATACCAAATGCTAGGCCTTTGATTTTATACTGAGTTTGATTAAGGGATATACCGTCTACCTGATCAATACTTGGGGCTCACGGCGGGTGTGATCGATCGACAGGGGATGCTTATTCCTGATAGGCACCTGATCCCAAATCTGAAATTTCCTGGAGTCCGTGTTTTATGCCATGTTCATATATATGTATTATTTGTAGTTTTTTTAAAGATAGATCACTGTTCGTTATCTTCACCTTTTTCACTATCAAAACAAAATTGGTGTATTTACAAACATATACACTTTTAGTCCTTTTAATTCCATCTTCAGACAGCACCAGTCTAGACAAGGTCCAAAAAGTCAAATATACTCAATCTAGACCGAATGGGAAAGTTCTGTGTAGTTTTAAGCAATACCATGTTCCATATTGTTTGAAGTACATGCATTTTTGTAACGGAGTCAAACCGTTTACAATACTATTGTCTACAAAGAAATTTGAATGGCAGCATTAATGATTACATGTACCTGTACAGAAAAAAGTTTTCAGAAATTTTGAATACAGTATAATGATGTCTTTTAAAGTTTTTTTTCCTATATGAAATTCGATTTAAAATGTTGTATAAACTTTGTAACCCTCTTATGGCTCCTTCTCTGGATGAAAGCATGCATAAAGCTATTTAGTTAAAACTTTACTGGAATATATCCACTTAAATAGGATCATTACTCTTTATAAAAATGAACAAAACTAAATTTTCTTTGCACAAAAATGATGCATTGTACTTTTAAAAAATGGCTCATCAATATCAAACAAGTCGATAATTTCACGTGGTCGGACAGAAAAGAAAGCAGATTGATCATGAAAATGTTACGTCGTTGGAAACAATCATTTGAAACACCTTTTTGAACAGGATATTAATGAAAAAGGTGAGGAAAACAAACAGTGATGGAACTCAAAATAATTCTACCAACAATACAAATCTGTGAAGAAGCATGAAGAACGGAACCCTGGGAATTCCTGTGGTGGTATTAGGTACCTAGGAGGAGTAAGCATCCCGGTGTTGACTGGTCACACTCGCCGTGAGCCCCATGTATTAATCAGGTAGGCGAACAGTCCGTAGTCAAATTCAGTAGTATGAAAACAAAGGTCTAACAATTAGTATGAAACACGTCAGCCAACAAGCGACCCAATGACTGGTTATAATCGGTAAGAAGGTCGTTACAACGATCATATAATTAACGAAATGATGACTTTAATTAAGGCTGTTGAAATCCCTGTCACATTAACTAATCTGTCAGTAGAATGCCTCTATTAAAATTGATCGTACTCGGAGCATGCTCTTGAGTATCGAATAAGACGTAAACACCATATGCAGGTGAAAGCAGGTGATTATTGCTGTGTACATGTTTATTTGAAGATGAAATAAAGCTATTTAGAATCATTTTCTTTATTCTGAAAATTTGTATACGGTTTGTGAAAGAACAAGAACTCTCAAACAGTTCAGAACTTGACAAAACTTTCAAGCAAATTAAACACACAAAAGCCATTTTCATTAAGTTAACAACATTTTGTTTTCTAAAACACAAATTTAAAGATATCAAATATAAACATATAAGGAACTTACCTCATTATCAGTGCATCACATTCTTTGTATTATAAGTATTACTTGGCAATTTATAAATAATTTAATATTTTCCCATATATTTGATTTGAAATGCAGATCCTTCTACAGGCTTGTAGTAAGATAGATAACTCTTCTTTTTCAATGCAAAGCAATCAGAGGGGCGCGTTATTGATTAAAAAGGGATATTAGGACCACTGCAAAATTTAATCATTTTGCTCACATCAAATTTAATATGTAACATTCATAACTTTTTACCCGTGAAATATTGTAACTTATGATTAAAAGTGCTTTGCAAAGTCAAAAATATCAAAAGTGTGGGGTGTTTTTTTATTGTGAATTTAACAATAGTGAGCCAAAGCTTTCGTTTTTCATTCCCTTTACGGAAAATACTCCCTGTTAAGAGAAAGCGAGAGTAAATAACCAATTTTCACGCAGTCTGAAGGTTTCTCAATATTTACAAATTTCAATTTCACAATCGCATAACTCTGACGTGCTAATGAAACATGGATATGTGTTAATAAATTTTTATCTAACAATCGCTAATTTTTGACGTCGCAATCGCTCAGCTATGACATCAAAGCCTATGGCACTGAGTGTGATATGAAAAGACGAGCAAAGGAAAAATCAAAGAAAATGTAATAAACGGAAAAGTCAATATCTTATAGTTGATCTGAAATTCATTTCACTCCCTGGACAGCATTTTGTATTTTCACTCTCGCATCCCCTCATTAGAATTAAAATATCAACAAATCCATCTCACTCGTGCAATAATGTTTTACTTTTAGGTGTGTTTATGACTTTCGTCAGGCTTCATCTTATATATATATATTTCTGTAGAAAGTCAGTTAATAATGAAGACCTTAGATCACTAATTTTAAAAGGTCCTAAATATAGGGAACCCCGATCCTTCAACTGGCGTCGGAATTTCATATATATTATGGATTCTGTAGAGGATTACGCCAAGCGATGGGCCAGACATGAAAAAGAAGACATTGACACTTTGTCAGAATGGATTAAGTGTGTCAGATGTATGTTAAAATCGCGCATTAAAAGATTGAGGGGCAATATGAGAACCATCTATCCTTCTGTATTCAATAATCAAGAAGTGAAAAAAGAATTAGATAAATTACATGATCAGTGCGTACTGGTCCCTGCTGACAATGCAGGTAACAACATTTTAGAGGAACTTGGATTTAATTCTACAAGTGGTAATCCAGCTTATACTCATAGTTCTCTTTCTAAGGAAGACATTCTTCAAAATCATATGTCAGTTTTGAATATTTTTAATATTTCAAACAACCAAAATGAATTTGAATTACCATGTTTATATTGGATTCCGAAACTTAATAAAAATCCTTACAAACAAAGATACATAGCGGGTTCCAGTAAATGTTCAACCACGCCTCATTCTTTACTCCTCACTAAGATATTAACAGTAGTGAAGGAGAAACTTCAAGAGTACTGTGCAACAATATATTCGAGATGTTGTGTAAATCAGATGTGAATACTTAAAAATTCCAAGGAACTTTTGGAAAATTTGAAATCACAAGATTTTACCAAAATCAACAGCTTAAAAACTTACGACTTTTCAAATTTATATACAACCATTCCCCACGATAAATTAAAGTCCAGGCTTTTTGATATCATTGACAGCTGCTTTTTCAATAAAAATGGATCTCGTAAATTTATTTACCTTGTCATTGGTCATTTGCAAAATTATTTTGTTAAAAACGTTCTGATTGCACACACAAGTACTCTGAAGTTGACATTAAAAAGATGCTTGAGTTTCTGATTGACAATATCTATGTGGTTTTTGGAGACCAGGTCTTCCAACAATCTATTGGAATTCCCATGGGTACCAATTGCGCCCCGTTATTAGCAGACCTTTTTTGCATTCATATGAAGCAGAATTTGTCCAAAATCTTGTAATGAAAAGAAGAAAACACTTGCTGTGGCCTTCAACTCGACATATAGATATATCGACGACGTATTGTCAATTAACAATGGTTATTTCCATTCTTATGTCGATACCATATATCTCGGTGAACTTGAGATAAAAGAAACCACAAAGTCTGAAACATCTGTTTCATATTTGGATATTTTACTTGAAAAAGACGTTAATGGCAATCTAACAACACAGCTTTATGATAAACGTGATGACTTTAACTTTTCAATCGTCAACTTCCCTTTCTTATGCAGCAATATACCTTCATCGCCTGCATACGGGGTTTATACCTCTCAGTTTATTCGATATGCAAGAGCATGCTCTACGTATGTACAATTTCTAAAACGAGGTAAATTATTGACAAATAAGTTGATGAAACAAGAATATTAGCAGTCTCGATTAAAGTCATCATTTCGTAAGTTCTATGGTCGATACAATGACCTTGTCAGCAAACACAATTTATCTTTGAGTCAAATACTGACTGACGTTTTTCATACTAATTATTAAGCCATTATTTACACGCTGAATTGTCGACGGATTTTCCCGTTATTTCCCGATCATGACAAGCCTGAAGGAGCACACGGTGGGTGTGACCGGTCGGCAGGGGATGCTCACTCCTCCATGGCACCTGATCCCACCTCTGATGTTTTGGAGGTCCGTGTTTGCTCTGCTCCTAATTTGTATTGTTTAATGGACTTTTGAGCTTGATTACTGTTCGTTATCTACATATATTTCAATAAGTTAATTGCTATAATAAATAACGAAATTACATTAAAGGTTAATTTTTTTATTCAATTGGTAAACAAATAATAAATGTAAAATTCAGAAGTCAAATTATGCCTTATATAAAAAAAACTGTGATTGTCGCCTCTGAACATTACATAAACCATATTGTCATATGTATAATCATGATTGCCAATAGATTGTTTGATTTTATTTGATTTAGGATGCATACATTAATTCCATCAACATTTTATTTAGAAACTGAATACAAAACCTCAGGCCTGATATTTAGAAAACTATACAAATATTTTATGCATATAAATAGTGTTTATCACGGCTTTCTAGTATTAAACGAATTGCTATATAAGAGGAACGCATTGAGAAAGTTTTTTGTTCTTTATAATACTTATACGTGTAATTTTTCAATAAATTACCAGGTATATTCAAACATATCAAACTAATATAAAGAGTTCTTATTGGGTATGTAGAGATGATCATCAAGATGTAAATAAGAAAAATGATTTTTTTTTTTCTCCAGACATTATGATTTTGGAAAATCAAACTTAGATTGACTCTGTGCTTAAGTAATAATAGGAAGTGGAGCAAAAAGATGGAATCATAGATATTTGTACTTCAAATGAATTCATATGGGTTTATATGTAACTGTGGGCGAATAATCTGAAGGACTCTAAATGTGAGGTCAATGATTTTGCTTGGATTTTTCACCGGGGTTAATGGTTCTGCCCAAGCGTTTCTCCAGGGTCAGTTTCTGAGTACTTAGGCGGTGGGTACATTGAAGGAGGATGGTAGGGTCCCGTTGGGGGGTAAGCCGGACTCAGTGGCTGTCCTCCATAACCATATCCAGGGTTAGCACCATACGATCCATTAGATAAGCCTGTTTAATATTAAAAAAATGCATATAGAGTTTTGTAAACTTACTGGACACTTGTATTTTTGAAAGAAGATAATAACTTTATTTATTGCCTGTCACTTAATCTTTTTTATACGTTTCCTTCGATTCTTCGCTGTTTAAAAAGTTAAAGATTGATTCATTGATTGTTTCTTGTTGAACTCCGAGTCAGTATACTGCCATATATGGGCAGTAAATAAAGAAATATAAACCTTGCTGCTGTGAGTTGACAATTGCAACGCCATCTGTCGAATTGTCAGGAAAGATGACTCTTCCTTTCATCCCATTGTTTTTGTTCATGACTTTACAACAAACGACAATTAAAACAACCAACAAAACAAACCCTGCTAGAGAGCCGATTGCTATGCCTACCATTTCACCGTATGTTCTACAAAAAAAAATACATAATGAGAACAAAAAACATTTTTTTTTTTTTAAAAAAAAAAAAAAAAAACATCATACACATAATCCTCTTCACTAAAAACAAGATTGATTATGAAATTAAATAATAAGAAAAGCATGAGATGACAATAGTATTCAAGTTAGTCTTGACTTTTTGAAATATAATATTAAAAGTATACAGCAATCCTATTAAAGAATAATATAGTAGAAATATTACTTACATCCCTTTACAACAGTATGCGTAATTTCCGGTGTAACAGCAGACCTGATTACCATAGCAACTTTCCATGTTGTAAAAAATGTTGCCACATATTTTAGCAGAGGTATTCGCCACTAAATTGATAATGTTCGAAATTATTATGAATGAATATTTATAGGAAATGGCTAAATAAACATCCTGTTTGAATTTGAAAGTTCTATAGTTTAAAAATGGTTTAATTTGGGGGGGGGGGGGGGGGGATCATGGTGTTGTGTTTAAAAATGCATTATAGTAAGATTAATTCCTGAATTTATTCACTTTCAATTAAATCGTATTTTTTGTCAGCTTTCATGATATTCGACTCTGACTTAGCAACGCGTATGGCGTACAGGTAAGAACAGATAAGTCAGTGAAATACATCTTTTTTAGTATGTGATAAATATCTATGACTGGCTGTGAAACATGCAAGTTGTATAAAGTGTATTTTTGTTCTTAACATGTTATAATAAAAAAGTTCATATGCACAGAAACTCATGTTATACATGTTACAGAGACGTCCATATATCTTAACGCAATACCCGAAAAGTATATATTCCCGCATTATTAAAAAGGTGAAGAAAACGAAGAGTAATCAATTCTAGAAATCCTATAAACGATACAAGTTGTGAACACAGCAATAAGATTGTCCCGGGGAATTCCAGAGTTAAGATCGGGTGCATGGGAGGAAAAACAGGTCACAGCACCTGTGCGCCCATTGTATTGGTCAGGTAAATGGGATAATCACGAGTCAAAATAAACATAAACTTAATGGTCTTACAAAAGGTATGAAAAATGTCAGTCAAATTCGATCTAAAGATAAACTAGAATGTATTTGCAAACCAGGTCATAAAAAAGAACATAGATTTTATGCCATGCTGACTTTTATACGAGAGGCAAGATTTGTAATATCAATATATTTGTCATTAGCCTAGCTTGGTTGCATAAAGTCTCCAAGACAGATTCTGTTGGTCCAGAGTTCAACCCCGGGTTAGGGCAGAAGAGGGTATCCTAATAAAATGAAATTCTCTGTGTTTTCTATATTAATATTTCTTTACTTAAGACAGTTATATTAGTTTAAGAGTTGTTGTAAAACGTGCTTTATAAATGAAAATTAATTCATTACAATATGTATCGGTAACGATCCTCTAATAAAACTAATGTCCAAATAACTGTATCTCGCTTCCATTCTCAATGACCGTGTAGTGTACGACAGCGCGAGAATTCCATCCATATATATTCAAAAAAATTATAATAATGCAATAAATGGAAAAACATGAACGTTAAACATAAAAATTAAGATTATTTGGAAAATGTAAATCAGTAACATTTTAAGGTCATTTCTTTATCTTAAGTTATGATTAGCACTATTTAAGCATAGTGAATAAAATGAAGGATATCATTAATGATATATACTTGAAGATTTTTTTTTTTCATGTCAGCCACATTCTACATTATTCTCTGCAATGAGACCCTTTCCAGTAGATGAAGACCAGGTCAATCAATTGTTTGAGTTGTTTAAGGAGAGTAACCCTAACTCTGCTTCATTGATTAATTCCTCTTTTCGATTATTGATAATATCAAGAAGCAGCAAAACTTAAACCTGTTTTTCTGGTGAGACACGACATTTCTTGAATCCATTTATTCAATATTTATGAAATATTTATTATAAAAGTTAAATATGATAATTCCATAGTAAAATTTTACATATTACCTGATATAATAAGATTGAAAAGACATGTTCCCCACAGAATTCTTAGGCTGGGTTCTACTAGCGCCATTTTTACTTATAGAAAAAAAAACAGTAGGAAGTAGTTTCTTTATTAGAGATAAGAGTGACGTGGAATATTTTTGGCCTCCTATCAACAATCAGAGTTTGTCAACAAAGGGTGTCTAGGATTCCCCTCGTAGCAAAAAATCGATTTGTATATTTGTGAAACCCGCGACAATGACACATGATATAAATTAATATACATGTATTTGTTTGGGGGGGGGGGGGGTTTCAAATGAAATTTATTTTTATAAATTCATTTACTGTCATAATTGTTCGTCATCTAGAATACTATTTTATCATTATCACTTCAAATTTTTATCATGAAACAATTAGTATTTATATAAGTTCAACTTTCTTTTAGCCTCCTTCTTCTTAATAATGCCAAATATAAAAGTACAATGCAAAAGCATTCTGAGAGCATAGCATTAAAAACAATTCCCTTTCCGGCAAGTGTAATCTGGTATCTATTGAAATTAAAAAGGCCATAATACCATAAAAATAAAGGAAATGAAACAGAATGCAGATGTGATTTGTAAACCATCGAGGTAGACTTATGTACCAGTAATCATATAAATATAAGCAAACTTTAGGGACAAAGTGGGGAAAACCAAGTTAGACGTACAAACTATATACAAAATAAAGGGACAGCTAGATAAACAGAGGGACAGACAGCCAGAGGAACAGACGAAGAAGAAAAGAAAAATCCGCTCCAGTTTAACCCGTAGGTGAGAAATAATGTCCGAATTTAGGAACGAATTGGAAGTAAAAGAAAATATTTGTTAGAGACACTTGTAATTTTATTTATATTGTGTTAATACTACCTAAAGTACAACATCAAAGTTATCTCAATCACCAGTAAACCTACACTTCTGTGAATTACTAATTTAAAACTTTCTATCGATGGATTCAAGAATTTTTATTTGGGAAATATTTCAAGATGAAATATTTACTGCATACTGCTCTGAATTTAAGACAAATGATATAACTAACTAAAATCAAAGTACTGAAAGTACTGAAAAGCGGTTAGCATGCTTTCATCTAAGATTCTAAGATTGAAAAAAAAAACTTTGCATGAAATGATATTAAAGTACGTGTAGCTGTTGTTCAATGTCATCAGAGAAGAAGCAGACATTCCGAACTTTGGAATATTTTACTAAATGACAAAACCACTTACATCTCATTCATACACCAAGACATCATCTTTTATCGTTTGATGTCAAAAATGCATGTTTAGAAATATCAAAACGTGATTTCTTGAGTTTGAAAGACAGAAAGCGCAATTTTTTAATAACACTTTAGGTAGACCAGAAGTGCCCAGGACGAAAAAAGTAAATTGATGTAGATTTATCTACCATGCTCTATAGTTTCTGAAATCTGGTAATTGTTAGGTTGCTATCACACAATTTAAAAAAAAATGATTATTTAAAATATTTGAATATATGAATTTAAAGTAGCTGCAGATCTTAAGCTCGCTGGTCTGAAAAAATTGGGATAGACAAAGAGATTTTGTCAGTATTTTTTTTCGGAGAGCTTCAGTTCTGTAGCTATAATTTTGATTGAAGGTTAACTAGTCGGATCAAAACAAAACAAATACACTATAATAAATAGATTTAAACTTTATACATTGCTCAGGGCGGGTGTGACCGATCAATTGCGGATGCTTACTTCTCCTAGGCACCTGATCCCACCTCTGAAATTTTCAGGGGTCCGTGTTTAATGCCATCTTAACATATTTGTATGTTTATACTCGTGATATTTTGAGATCGATCACTGTTCGTTATCTTAACCTTGTACATTTAAATGTTGAAGTTCATTAAAGGGATTCTGTATTTTTGAGGTACTGAGTACTTCCGTTTTAAATTATGTGCTACTAAGGCACTACCCTCAGTGGAAGACGGACAAGTAAACTAGATAGTCAAGTTTTAAAAAAATGTACATTATTGACCATGCAAACATTTTAAATGTTCAAATGAGTAAATGACTATGCAACAATCATTTAAAGTAGGACATGGATATTGCACAATATATACAGGGACAGATACTGAATATTTGGCACATACTTTTCATGCAATACTCTTGATGTCAAAGAAAACGCATGAAAAGTAAAGTTGTTGTCTAATCCAGCTATACTAGTATAATATATGATTTCACATGTACACTTAAAGTAATTGTTTGATTAACAGTTTATTTGTCCTTCTCAAGAATTATCCAGTTAACAATGTCACTCTCTTCAATATTCAAATTAATATGTCAGCTAAGCAATTTACATTGATATTTTTTAGTACATGTAATAACAAGTATGTGAATTTCTATAAATAAGCCTGTCTCAAAGACTCAAAATAAAAATCATAATTAACAGTTTGAGCAAATTTAAAAATATGTTTACAACTTACATGTTTTTAAACAGATCTAGAACATTTGACAAGTTTTCAAATAATAATTAATTATTATTTAAAATCTTTGTCAATTGCCAAGATTTTTTTTTTTATGATTCTTTCATTATCTTTTAAAAACCTTCTCAGCTAAATGTTTGCATATTTTATAACCTTAAGGTTGAATTTTAGAAGAGGATCACTCTGCCGATTTAAGTTTTTATGTTTTCTATTTTTTTTAAGAATTAATTTTACTATTTTCAGTTTCCCATTAAATATTTTTTTTCTAAAAATAAAAGTTTGTGATCGTTTATGATTGTTTGTAATTAAAAAAAAAAAGAGTACAGAATGTACCCCTGTGAGCTAAACTTTAATTTATAATCTTTTAATTAGAGAAGAAATAACTTTTCAATATGAAATTAATTCCATTGTTTCTACTAAAACAGTTGTACAATTTAGAGAAACTTAAAATGTATTTAAGGCTTTTAATAAAAATTCTTTTTCGTATATTACTTCACTTAATAAAACGTATGTCTAAATACTTTGGGGTAAACTCGTAAGAGAAAATCAAACACGAAAGTTTCGCCTACGTTTTGCAGTTAGTAATAACCTTCAACCCCTTTAGTCAGCAATGACCCCTCCATCTAGTGCCCATCGTGGCATAATTAGGTCAAATAATTAGGGCGGTCTATAAATTGTTCATGAGAGGTGCTATATGATTTATACAAAATCGTTCAACTCCCAAAAATAAACATTAACTATAAATCGCGATTGCAGGATTTACCGACGAGTTTATACTCTGCAGGTAACCCCTAAAATTCAAGCCGAGCGATTATCTCGGCATTAACCTGTCAGAGTCAGAAAGGCAGTAGAGGTAGCGATGGTAAATAGGTCATAGGTAGCGCTTTGACGACACTTCCGACGTCGCATAGTTAGCGCTTTGACGAAGCTTCCGGTGTCGACAAAAATTGCGTAAGACCTTTGGTTACATGACATAAAGCGATTAGCGTATACGCTAACCGCTCAAAAAGGAGTTGCAGTTCAGCTGACTGCAAATCTACCGTCTATGAATTTTGGTCAGTCATTGCAAAATACCAGAACATGGCATGAGAGTCCTGGAACCTCAATGACAACTAAAAGTCTGCGAAAGAGTAGATACGTGAACAAGTGTATATCATCATAATTTCCAGTGTGGCTTAATCTGTGATTTCATTATTTTATTTTGTTCTATAAATACATTGTATTGAAATGTGGGGGGAAAAAACAACAGATATCATGCTAGCTCTCATTCTAATTTAATTAACATTACAGATTTGGAGCAGCGCATACCCCTAGAATCATTAGAGGTACCTTGGAGGAGTACGCATCCCTTGTCGACCGGTTACACCTGTTGTGAGTTCTTTGACTTGATTGGATATACGGAGAAATTCTGTGATTATTTAGTGTGAAAATAATGACACAATTTGAATCTAAAATGTCAGACAATATTTAACCTTAAGACAGGTATTATTTGCAAACGAGGTCAGTCACTGTACTGACCAAGGAATTAGTAAAATGTAGATTTTAAACGAGATTGTTAAAACTCTTATAACATTAACTTATACGAGGGCTATTCATTAAATAATGACACTAAATGTACTCCTTTTAAATTTTACACTTGATTGAATTGGAACATCTCTTGAAATGTTAATTGTCTTCCATACTATTGATTTGACACGTAGTCGCAACCTATTTATAAAGCAATTTTCAAAGAAAGCATCTTTTTCGAACCCACCCCGAGGACACTGTTAACAAGAAGACAGAAGGAAAGTCCCGAAAGGACATTTTGAACACCAGGTCGTATATTAAGTATCGCTTTCTAATGAATATTACGGGAAAAGAAATTTTCAAAGAACTCGTGTCATTATATGGAGAAACTGTTGTATCTATCAAAACCGTTTATCGATGGATAAAGCATTTTAAACTTGTAGGGAGTCAGTTGAAAATATCAAACAGCCCGGAAGGCCAAGATCAGTTATCAATGAGAAATCAGTTGCAGCAGTAAAAAACATTATCGACAGAGACGGCAGGGTGACCGTGAAGCAGATTGCCAAGAAGCTGAACATTTCATCGGGTAGCATTTTTAAGATCTTTAAAGAACTTTTAGGAGTCAGGAAAGTATCTGCGAGGTGGATCCCACACATTTTAAATGATGAGCAAAAAAGAAAGCGATTGCAAATTTCTCGAAAACTGTTGAAAATTTACGGAAAATGTGATAAAAGACGTCTACATGAAATTGTTACGGGGGATGAAACTTGGCTACATTTTTATGAACCTGAGAGAAAACTGGGAAACAAAATATGGCTCCTTAAACAAAGTAAACTACCTACCATTGCTAAACGCGGCAAGACAGCAAGGAAGGTTTTGTATGCAATCTTTTTTTATTCTAACGGGGTAGTCGCTCAAATTTCAATTAAAAAGGGCAGAAGTGTTACTAAAGTTGTTTACGTGAGAAAGATATTGTCAGAGGTACAAAAACATTACAAAAATAGAATACCAAAGTCAGGAATGAGGGAGCACACACTGCAAAGTACACACAAGATTTCTCGTGTGAAAATGGAATACAGCAACTGGAGCATCCCCCTTATTCACCAGATTTATCCCCGTGTGACTTTTTCTTATTCCCTAAATTGTAAAAAATGCTATCTGGACGGCGTTTCCATTCCCGTTCTGCATTAGGTTCAGCGGTGTATCAGTGTCTAAAGAGTATACCTCTTTCGGAGTATAGAGGCGCGTTCCAAAGCTGGATAAAACGGCTTCAAATATGTGTTGAAGTAAAGGGTGATTATTTTGAAGGAATGTAAATAAAATAGAAAATAATACTATGTTATTTCTTACTGTATTGAAGAAGTCTCACTATTTAATGAATAGCCCTCGTATGTTTAGAAGACTGCCTTGGTTTAGAAATTGTTCGTACGCAAAATATGGTCTTGAGTGTCGAATCAACTTAAACTCATTACCACTATAGGCAAAAGATAATGGTTGCTAATAAAGGACGTTGACGAAGTTGAATTCATCACGTATTTCAGTAAGTTTAGTTGTTCGTTTATTTGCATCGATGTCTTTCTCTAGTAAAACATCCAAATATGAAAAAGAATAGTAAGAAGATGTGGTGTCTTTTAGTGTGATAGATCGAATCAAAGTTTGAATGAAAATAGATATTGCTTTTTGATAATTGATAGTGTTAATTGAGAACATGTCGTATATATACCTTTAGAGATGTTGAATTGGAAGTCATAGCAAGCCACTTATTCTCATGTAGAAGTTTTTGAATAAATTCTCCTTCATATGAATACAGGAACAGATCTGTGAAAAAGGTATATGTACAATTACTACCCATGGTAGTAATGACAACAAACTTTTGGAGGACCTAGTCTTCAAAAACTATATGGATGTCGACAATAAATACCTCAAGCATTTTTTAATATCACCTTTACAGTACTATATGTAGAATCTATGTAGATTCAGAATGGATTTTAACAATTTTGTAGATGAACAGTCATTTATGTCCGAGTTATAAAACTTTCATTTAATGTAATGGTGTCAAATTACTTTATTTGAATAGATATAAATTACAAAGTATAGTTATTAATACTAAGAATCAAAATGGCGAGCTCTGATGAAAGGAAATTATTCTTAAACTACTTGAGGTGTTACAACACCCACGGTGTTTAATCCTACAACTAATCACATTCCCAATTCCACATCAATCGCTTTCCTAATTCCACAAAAACAGCTGTTACATATGATGGGGATCTTTAATATATGAAGTTGTGTATCAGTCTGTCATGTTAACTCCTTCAACAATTTTAGAGAAACGTCATATATGACAATTTGCATCCCAAAGTGTTGTGAATGAATACGATAAAGTATTACGCCGGGGCAAGAGGGAGCAGACCCCATAAGTTGATGTTTCTCTTTTTTTTAACTACGAAAATTCATTTTGACCACGTAAACAACCGCATAGTAAGAAAATATTAAAAGCACACGAGTAAGTTTACCACCATGTTCCACACACTTATAAGCATGGTGCATTTTAATACAGTGGAACATGATTGAAACTTGTCACAAGATTATATTTTTCACTCTTCTGCTAAAATGTCAAACTTAACATTGAAAAGTGAAGAGTAGTTTAATACCTTTTAATAACTTTAATTTTCAACAGAAAGTATGTTATTGTGATTAATGGAATATTTGCATAATTTTAATTAAGGTCAGATGAAACGTTTCTCGATAATATATATTTTTTCCCAATACTTTGATATTGAATTATTTCTACGTTAACAAGTTTCTTCGTGAAAATAAAGGTACCTTACCAGGTATTTGTGGAAGGTAACGGAGAATTGACTTTCCTATATAATCCTTTTGGAAATGACTTGAATTGCTTATATCACAATTTTTAAGTCTTTATTTTTAAAAGATATTTAATAAAAAACTTTAGAATTAGCAAGATAGCAATACTTTTAAATATTTTGGTGAATTACAGAGACACAAAAGCAGATATTCGAGGAACGTGTTGTCTGACCACGATACAAAAATTATTTGCTAACATAGACTTGAAAGTTTTGTCAAATACAATTTTAAGCATCTTACACTCTGTAATTTTCACTTGCTAGTATTATGTACACAGCTTGGTTCTATTATTATCTTTATGTTATTAACAGAATAATTAATGATTTGGAATAATTAAACTAGGTCAAGCTTTGTGGGTATGCTAAATAGAAACTTTCTAGGAAACAATAGGACATAAAATGACTAACATTATAAAATACACCAGATACTACATGATTCCACATATTCTATAATGACGAGAATGATGTCAAAAGGTACTTGTTTACAAATCAATACTTATAGAATTATGTTTTACATTACAGGTTGAAGTACATAAAATACTGTAAATTGTATGCATAATTTAACAATATATAACATTGACTAAATCATGGCCTTGACATTGTATTATCTTTATTCTTACAAATATGAAAACAAAAAAAGTCAAATTATATCCAAATACACAAAGAAAGAACGATTCGTATCCGATATACAAAGCAAAATACAACGAAATATAAGCAAAAATTTTTGACAGCAACGTTAACCTCCGTTGCAGTATATCACAGACAAGAATGTATCTACAGCATTGCTTTAGTTTAGAATCAATACTTTTGTGGATAAGAGTTGGTGTCTGGCTGGGTGTAAGATGGAGGGGGTGGAGGTGGGTACTGTGACGGAGCTGCGGGGGGATAGGCCGGTCCTGGTCCTGCTGTATAGGCTGGGTATGTAGATTGGGAGTATCCAGGAGGTTGAATAGGACCACCAGTATAACCTGAATAGAAAAGAAAGATCTGAGGAACAATTCAAACTTCTAAATGTCGTGTTGTATTGGATGAGTAAAGTATCTGGGAACAATTTAAACTTCTGAATGGCGTGTTGTATTGGCTGAGTAAAGTTTCTAAAAAACAATATAAACTTCTGAACATCGTGTTGTATTGGCTGAGTAAAGTATCAAAAAACAATTCAAACTTCCGAATGTCGTGTTGAATTGGCTGAGTTAAGTATGGTGGAACTATAAGGCATTTAAATATTTCTTCATTGAGTTACAGATGGATGAGAAGGTAAAAATTCCTGGGCAATAGGTTTAAAATTTTGATTTTTTTTTTTCGGAGAGGAGGATTAGGGGGAGGCTAGTATGTTTAATATGAGTAATTCATTTCTCTCTTTAATGATTTATAATTTTTATTTCAGTAAATGGAAACATCGGTCATATTGCTGATTTGTAGTATGGCTAAGTGCCTCTAAGGTGTTTATTTGATATATTCATATACTCTAACCTTCAGTTCATTATACATGTGTCCATCGAAATATTACAGAATCACAATGTTAGCTTATTAAAACGGGTCCGTTATCTTTGTTAGTTTTCTAACAATAGTGTGATTGTTTTATTTTGTATTCTAGCTTAAAAGATTTGCTGAGTACAAAAAATTATTAGTATTACAGTACATAGACATAGACATAGGTACAAAAATGAAGGCCTGATATTTGTCGATATGTTCTGGTTTTATATATTAGGCAACTTGTACAAAAACCGTGATGTGTTGTAGCACAATTATCTTTGTAACTGTATGAGGACTCTGATGTGATGTAATACGGTTATCTGTGTACCTGTATAAGGATTCTGGTGTGATGTAACACGGTTATCTGTGTACCTGTATAAGGATTCTGGTGTGGTGTAACACGGTTATCTGTGTACCTGTATAAGGATTCTGGTGTGATGTAACACGGTTATCTGTGTACCTGTATAAATGCACTGATGTGATGTAACACGGTTATCTGTGTACCTGTATAAGGATTCTGGTGTGATGTAACACGGTTATCTGTGTACCTGTATAAGGACTCTGGTGTGATGTAACACGGTTATCTGTGTACCTGTATAAGGATTCTGGTGTGATGTAACACGGTTATCTGTGTACCTGTATAAGGATTCTGGTGTGATGTAACACGGTTATCTGTGTACCTGTATAAGGATTCTGGTGTGATGTAACACGGTTATCTGTGTACCTGTATAAATGCACTGATGTGATGTAACACGGTTATCTGTGTACGAAATGCACTGATGTGATGTAACACGGTTATCTGTGTAGCTGTATAAAGACTCTAATGTGATGTAACACGGTTATCTGTATACCTGTATAAGAACTCTGATGTGATGTAACACGGTTATCTGTGTACCTGTATAAGAACTCTGATGTGTTGTAACACGGTTATCTGTGTACCGTACCGATGTGATGTAACACGGTTATCTGTATACCTGTATAAAGACTGTAATGTGATGTAACACGGTTATCTGTATACCTGTATAAAGACTGTAATGTGATGTAACACGGTTATCTGTGTACCTGTATAAGGATTCTGGTGTGATGTAACACGGTTATCAGTGTACCTGTGTAAGGACTCTGATGTGATGTAACACCGTTATCAGTGTACCTGTATAAGGATTCTGATGCAATGTAACACGGTTATCTGAGTACCTATATAAGAACTCTGATGTGTTGTAACACGGTTATCTGTATACCTGTATAAATACTCTGATGTGATATCATACAGTTATCTGTGTACCTGTATAAGGACTCTGATGTGATGAGCTCATAACAGTGACGTTATTTGTGCCGTTGTTAGGGTAAACAACCCGTCCCGCCGTGCCTCTGTTTTTGTTCATGATATTACAGCAAACAACGATTAGAGCAATCAAAACTGCTATCCCAATCACAATGCCGATCACCACCCCTGCTATAGCGCCACCAGAACTACAAATTATGATTATAATTCTCATCAATAGGGATCTTCTTATCTAATCTAATGTAAAACAACAATTTGAAAGTTTTAAGTGTTAATATCAGATTATAAGTAACATTACAGTGAATAACCGCAGCAATATCGGTAGGTGTAGTAGTAGCCACAGCAGTGAGTCTGTCCGCCATAACAATACTCTCTGAAGTAATACGGAGTGTAGGTAGCACAGGAATATCCAGCGTCCACGGGAAGAACTGTAATACATGCTTAATGTTGAAGCACTGTCAAAGAGCAAGTCCCCGGATCATGAAGAAGTCTTAAGACTTAAGTCGAGAATTTAGTCATTTATAAAATGAATATTTATAATGTACTGATTCTTGAAAATTTAAAATTAAGAATTTACAGCATGAAAGGGAATTTTTTAATAACATTTCAAGTGTGGTTCCTTAATTATAAATTTAAAAACAACTTAAGAAATGGCTTAGGTCTAGACTGCTTCATGATCCTGGGGCCAAGAGGACAAGAATACACTATTATTTGGAGGCTTTTCCCTTATGTTTTTCCTTGTATTTCGTTATTTTAATTTTTTCTTAAATATAGTAATTAAACCTTCCTAATTCAAGATAAACAAGCTTATTATTGAGAGGTAAAGATAATAAACAGTAATCATATTCAAAAGTCCAGTAAAACAATACAGACTGCGAACAAAGCAAGCAAGGACCTCAGAAAACATAAGAGGTGGGGCGGTGCCATGGAGGAGCAAGCCTTCCCTGTCGACCGGACACACCTGCTGTGTGCCCTTGTCATCACCGAGCAAGCGGAGAAATCCATATATAATAAATTCAGTATGAAAATAGTAATGGTCTAACAATTTGTATAAAAGATGCCAGTCAACATTAGACCTAACGACAGATTATATAAGCAAAAAGACCATATAATTTTCGAAATGTTGACAAAATACTATGCACTAAATATCATGCATATAAACAGAAGATGCTAGCCATGGGACAATGATGTCAAAGCTGTACGATAAAATAAATATGTGATGTTGATGAAGTTCTGTATACTACTGCGAGGTCATGACCCTTTCTGAGTTCAGTAACTTTTTATGGAATATTAATATCAATTTAATATTAAAATAATATTAATAATATAAATACTAATACTACTTGATATTTACATTGTGTCTCCTTCTGCAGTAAGAGTGAACAAAGATGATTTCAACATCAAATGACCGGAAAAGAATGTACTGGGCAACGATATATTCGAGAAGTGGTGTAAATCAGATATGGATACTTGAAAACTCCAAGGAACTTTTGGAAAATTTGAAATCACAAAATTTTACCAAAATCAACAACATACGACTTTTCAACTTTATATACAACCATTCCCGTCGCCCGCGTGGCGCAGTGGTTAGAGCGTCTGCTCTAGAGTCGCGAAGTAAGGAGTTGATCCTTACGTCGCGGGTTCGAATCCCACTGTGGGACGTGGAGACCAGTCCTTCGGATGAGACCGTATAAACCGAGGTCCCGTGTCGCAGTAGGTGTTAGCACGAAAAAGATCCCTCACTGCTCAACGGCCGTAAGAGCCGAGTATAGGTCAAAATTTGTAGCTCTCCACCGGCAAGTGGTGGCGTCTCCATATGAGTGAAAAATTCTCGAGAGGGACGTTAAACAACATACAAACAAACAACCATTCCCCACGATAAATTGAAGTCCAGGCTTTTTGCTATCATTGACATCTGCTTTTTAAATAAAAATGGAACTAGTAAATTTACTTACCTTGTGATTGGTCAGAAGAAGAATTTATTCAAAATTTTATACGTGAAAAGAAAAAATACTTGCTGTGGCCTTCAACTCGACATTTAGATATATCGACGATGTATTGTCAATATTAACAATGGTTATTAAATTTCTTATGTCGATACGATATATCCTGGTGAGCTTGAATAAAAAAAGGATACCACAGAGTCTGACACATCTGTTTCATATTTAAATATTTTACTAGAAAAGACGTTAATGGTTATCTAACAACCAAGCTTTATAATAAACGTGATGACTTTAACTCTTCAATTCAACTTCCCTTACTTAATATGCAGCAATATACCTTCATCACCTGCATACGGGGTTTATATTTCTCAGTTGATTCGATACGCAAGAGCATCCTCTACGTATGAACAATTTCTAAAGCGAGGTGAGTTATTGACAAACAAGTTGATGAAACAAGAATATCATCAGTCTCATTTAAAGTAATCATTTCGTAAGTTCTATGGTCGATACAATGACCTTGTCAGCAAATACAATTTATCATTAAGTCAAATGCTGACTGGCGTTTTTCATACTAATTGTTAAGCAATTATTAACACACTGAATTGTCGACGGAGTTTTCCTTTAATTCACGATCATGACAAGGAGCACACGGCGGGTATGACCGGTCGGCAGGGGATGCTCACTCATCCATGGCACCTGATCCCAACTCTGATGTTTTAGAGGTCCATGTTTGCTCTGCTCCAAAATTTGTATTGTTTAATGGACTTCTGAGCTTGAATGCTGTTCCTTATCTCCATATATATTTCATTAATATTCTCTGTGCATTTAGGATATATATAACTATTCATATTTTTGTGATTTTTGTACAAGTTTGTATTAACGTTATATATATATATCTGATGTTTTCTCACTGATATATATAGCTGAGCACTATATAAAAACATCATACATCATACCTGAAACGATGAAAAATAAAAACGTCGCCACAAATCCAGGAATCACACTCAGCACATCCATCTTTGAGGTAAAATTCAAATTTTAAGCAGCAAAGATATAAATAACAAGTCTATACTTTAACTTGAACTAACTACGTTGGTCCTCAGATAAGGAACACAGGTAGCACTTTATTTATTTGATCAATATATCGAGGGTCTGTGTAAGTTTTTAAATTCAATCTATCTGATTTATTACATTGCACGTGGGTCACACAAGAATGTAAGCTTATTTTAAATCTTGGTCTTCTTACTTTTATCTTTTTTTTAAGTGGTGCATATATGAATATGTATGGTTTGTTGTTGTCTTGCATTCACACTCATTTGTTTGAATGCATGGTACAATGTATTTACAGTCATGTAATTCATGACTTTTTTATCGATACGCAATCTGATTTTTTTTTTTCAGTATAGAATGTTTAAATAAAAGTAGCAGTGTGGCAAAGTTTCTTTAAAAAAAAAAAAATATTAGCATTAATTCATTGATATCATGAAACTGTTTATAGTCACTTAAATCGCTTATACGCAGATTTCGCCCTCTTTATCATTTTTCCACGAGCACTTGTTTCTGCAGTAAATTTTTACCCTACAGTATAATAATAATACAAGGTGTCTGCCCCGAATTACAGGGAGTAACCCCGTCCACGCATGAAAAGTTTTACGGATCGGGATCTGAATGCATGTAAATGATAACCACGAAAACAGCAATGTCTGCGCCCATCTGAAAAATATAAAACACATGTGTCTTTCAAAACAGCGTAAAAATGGAAGGGTTTCCATCGAAACGGTATATCTGTTTCTTTTCTGTTGAATTATTTTAGTATTAATTTCTATGAAAATAGTACCGGAATAGACCCTATACATGTATATGAAATACAAACTTGTTTGATGTACAGATATTTATATCTATTCATAATAAATGTTCTGATGAAATGTATGGCTTTAGGGTACGAAAATCCTAGAACACATCTGTAGTGTACGACATCACATATCTTCTTTTAAATCTGTAGGCTAATTTTACCATTCTTATCTATCTATCCTTTATCTATCTATCCTATAAGAACACGAGTTGTCTCTCTTTTGCCAGCTCAAGCACTGAGTACACTATTTTTTGTACAATTTACAGCAGGCTGTGTAGTGACTACTGAAAGTGTCAATGGTCTTTCTGAAATCTTTTATATTTAAACAAAAAAAACACGAGCCATAATTATGAAATGATGGCGGATGGGGAGACGGTGATGTTGGGACACAGTGGCATAGTATAGGCTAATACTAAACCCATAGTATAATAAACCCGTAGTATAATTAATTAATTAATTAATTATTAAATAAATAAATAATTTGTCATCGTCGAATAATATTTTAGAAAACTGACCGAACTTTTCAAATTTAATTTTTCGTTATTTTATATAGACTCCGGGTTTTTATACCCCATAAACGAGGATTCGTGGGCACGTAGTTTTTGGTTTGTCTGTCCATGTATCTGTCTGTATTTCCCAATTACTAGTACAGTGTATGGTCATAGTGTAAAGGAACCTTGAAATATCGTTCTGAAAAAAAAGGTTTTACAACAAAGGTACTTGTTTCGGTAATAAATAATTAAAAGTCTAGATTTGAAAGAATATGAAATGATCAACCATTGTCAAGAAAACCCTGACATTGAAAAAATTGCTTTTGAACGCAATATTTATACTATGGGTTAAAAAAATTATTACCGAAGCAAGTGGCTGTATTTTACAAACATCATTCGCAGCAAAGTCTGTCTGGCTGTTCACAATGAGTACTACCTCACTATTCATTTGAAGTAATTATTTTTAAATTCTTATAGAATTTATAAAAGATACTGAGGTAAACCAATAAAAAAATTGTTGCAAGTTTCGGCTTCAAGACGTCAAATTTCTCACCTTAGCCGATAAAAAATCATGAATTCTATAAAATAGTAACACTTAATCCACAGGGGATATAAGTAATCACGAAAATAGATAATACTTAAGCACCCCACTAGGCTTCATTCAGAAAGCTGTTGGTTTTAGTTAATAACGTGATTCTCTTTCGTCAGTAAGAATCTCCTCTAGATCGAGGACTTTCAGTTTGGACATGTGTATAAATCGACAGGAAAGCAATATCTCAGCGGCATTATTAATGACTGCATGTAACAATAGTATTAAAAGAAAGGGAGAATAGCGAGAGAAATGCATTGCATCTAGATAAGGCAAGAGCAATTTGTAAACTGGACAATTTTATTTTTCACAAATTGCATGAGATGAGGAGTAGCCGATGTCAAAGGTTAAAAAATACAGTGTATAAAGAGAGAGAACTGGTTGAATTCAGGAAAAAGTGCGTGCGTCTCGCCGACAAATCGTTGTATGCTATTGACAGTATCAATTAACAAGCGTCAATTAGAAGAAGCGAATTAATAGAAAAATTCGGTCAAATATCGAGTCACTTACAATGTACATATGTACTCAGCTGTCGCTGTGCCAGACATTTTTGGGTACACGGGAAAAGACATGGTTTTCCTTTAGTCATGCTTGAGAAGAGAATGATAAGCGAAGTGTTGGAAAATTTTCAACAGTCAGACATCCGTTTGAACAGTTTAATTTTTTTTCTTTTTTTTTTTTATAATTTTGCGTGTGATCCGAATACAGGCGGCTGATGTTTGGAAGGTCTTTACTAATCTGTAACTCGTGTCAGATACATAATTTTTTTTTTTTTCTTTCTTTGACGTTTAACATGTTTAGCGGATGTTCTTGATATTCGATTGCTGGATAACCACAATACGTAAACAAATGAATTCAAAACTTTAAGAAAAGTAAAGGAGATTTAATAAAAGACGAAAAGCTCCAATCATTGGAGAAGTATAAGAGGACTATATGGACCCACACCTTTCAATGTGACCATGGATTTGTTAATATCAATTTATAAATATTTTAGGAAAAAGTTCGATGATAATGTTGACGACTCTAGGAATGTTACGGACACTGTGGAACAAACGAATACGGCGGGCAATCAAGACAAGGAATATTTCCAGTAAGTATGAGAAAAAGAGATAGATATAGTTTGGGATAAAAAGGTACAAGTTATTGACTACCTGACTGCATAGTAAAATACAGGGAAAAAAAACAAAAAAAAAAAAAAAAAGATCAAGCTAATGTGAAGACAATGTAAGATTTCTTCCTATTTTCGTGGGTCCAATTTTTTGCGGTTTGAGGAAAAAATACTGATTCGAGGGGATCTAATTTGGTAGTTAAAGGAGAAACATTTTATAGCAGTATTAAATTTTCACATTTGGTGGGAGATATAAATTCATGGGTCTCTTCTTACCACGAAAACAATGGAAATTAAAAACCTTAGTTTGAAATATATTTATTCATTACAAATGAAATGGATTGAACAGCAGGCATAATGCCATTTAACATTGAAAAGCAGTATGTAAAAATAGATCATTAATTGGTACATGTATTTGGTGAATCCAGAGAAAGAGAGAAGGGGGGTAAAACAAAGAGAAAAAAACATAATAAAGTACATTTAACATTGAAAAGCAGTATGTAAAATAGATCATTAATTGTTACATGTATTTGGTGAATCCAGAGAAAGAGAAGGGGGGTAAAACAAAGAGAAAAAACATAATAAATTACATTTAACATTGAAAAGCAGTATGTAAAATAGATCATTAATTGTTACATGTATAAAGTGAATCCACAGAGAGAGAGAGAGAGAGAGGGAGAGAGAGAGAGAGTTGATAAAGAGCAAGAGCACAGTAGTCACTATAATTCTATTGGATATAAATACACAGAAGTCACTATAATTCTATTGGATATAAAATACCCATACAGGTGAAAGTATCTCCATTAAAAACACAGTAGTCACTACAATTCTAATGGATAAAAAATACCCACACAGGTGAATGTAACAGTACCAGAGCGTCGGGGGTATATTTTATTGAATTGTATCAGGATATTTCTCAGAGCATACATGGGTTCCTGGTGTTTCTGACAGAACATGAAATGATGGAATGAAATATGGAAATAGAATAGTAATCATGATCAAAGTCCATATAAACAATACAAATCGGGAGCAGAGCAAACACAGACCTCCAAAAACATCAGAGGAGGGATTGGGTGCTATGGAGGAGTGAACATCCCCTGCCGACCGGTCACACCCGCCGTGTGCTCCTTGTCATGATCGGGAAAAAACGGAAAAATCCGTAGACAAGTGTGTAAATAATGACCAAACAATTAATACGAAAAATGTCAGTCAGCATTTGAATTAATGATAGGTTGTATTTGCTGACAAGGTCATTGTATCCACCATAAAACTTGCGAAATGATGACGTCAAACGAGACTGTTGATATCCTTGTTTCATCAACTTGTTTGTCAATAGCTTGCCTCTTTTTAGATATTGTTCATGCGTAGAACATGCTCTTGCGTATCGAATCATCTGGTAATTTATCTAGTAAAATATCCAAATATGAAACAGATGTGTATGATTCTGTGGTATCTATGTACATCTATATATAGTGTGGCGTTTACCACGGTATTGTGATAAATATGTCGTATAGAAAGGAGTTCACATGGTATTCCCAAGAACATAAGGGAATTTGAATAATTACAGTATATTAATCGAATTTACTCGGTCGGTTTGCTATATACATGTATAGATAAATAATAATGATAATGCTTTTTCTAGAGAAGGTATTCGATTAGTTCAAGGCACTATCTCTAAATTTCAAACAATAAACATAATGCAAAGATAAACTTATAGTTTGAACATATTATATTGTACCTTATAATTACAAAGGGATTGGGCACAAAACTTATTACGCCTTCTCCGTACATGTATATTACAAATTTAAAATTAAGTCACAGTTAAACATTCAGCGAGAATATTGAGAAAGTGAATTCACTAGCATGATTTTTCTAATATAAATATTGTTTAAGGAGGTAAGGAAAGTTAATCCACTGAGTAGACCTTGTTCATGATGCTGGTAATTTATATCAGAGTTCTTTAGTTTAACACTTGAAGTGTTTTAAATCCTTTGTATCTACAGACAATTCGTCTCAGGTTAAAGCATTGGTAGGTATAAGGATAACTGATAATCAGCGTTTTCAATTATAGGTACACCTCTTCATTGTTTATAATACAGAGTAACAAGTTATAATCCAATAAACCGATCAGCGGAACAACTTCACTTAATTTATATCACGTACAGATGTAAAAAAAAAAAAAAAAAAAAAAGAAAGAAAAAGAAATGTTAACGGAACTATCTGCAAGGATCAGCATCAGACGCAAATAGCATTCACGTATAACGGGTAATAGGGAGGGATGTCGATAAGACCTCCAAACCTACTAATTAAGGCTCATTTTGATCCCCAGGCTTGATTTCAGCTCGAAAATGCAGGGACACACTCATATTTGTGTACAACTATCTTTGCAAAATATGGTAAAAAAATATTTTTTTAAGAAAAGAAAAACAAACTAAAACAAAAAAAAAAAAAAGAAAGAAAAAGGGAAGAATTGAAATATTGAATCATTATTTCGAAGAAGGAAACGATAACGGTGGACTCAAAAAAAGTGTTTGAGACCCGAAGTAACTGTAGGGGAATACTCAATTTGTTTTCTAGCAAAAATAACAACGGATTGATATAATGACAGATTGTTTTCTTCTTTGTAGAAGTTACGCTGATGTAGGAATCCACGAGGAGATGTTGAACGACGCAGTGAGAACAAACGCTTACAGGTCTGATAAATAAACTCAGTAATCGTTCTGCACTGGGGGCATATCATATTGCACATTGTATTAAGGTGATATTAAACCATGTTTCAAGTATGCCCTTTTATTTATATTGTTATAAGCAATTAAGATCTCAATTAAGGAAGATCACAGGATTGGATATTCATATAAAGAAAGAGAATACGGCCATTACGGGCCCGTCATTTTGAATTGAATTGAATACTTCATTTATAAATGTAATAGAAAATGAAATTAATATTTTTAACTGATCATGAGAAGCTTAAGCTTTCATAAATCTGCCAATAAAGATTCGTTTTCTGAACACTAAATGTCATGATTCAATACAACCAATTAAGAATAAAATGTCTGGGAAGAGGAAGATAAAGTGGGATAATTAGTTCTCATTGCTAGCACGTGTCCTTAATTTGTTTACACAGACCTGGTTGGCGGGCAAAAAATATAAGCACCGTACTGCGGCCGCGCGCCAGAGTCTGATCTTCAAACGCTAACAAGATTTTATTTCTCCATCAGTAAATGATTTGTCTAAAGCTGCTTGAGCCAATATTTATGTCGTTTTTTAACTGTTTCTAACAGATATGCCATATTGAAGAACTACGAAAAGATCCGAGGGAAGGTGGTGGCAGATGTGGGGGCGGGAACAGGGATACTCAGTATATTCTGTGTACAGGCCGGCGCGAAAAAAGGTACAGAAATAGCAGTGTATATACAGAAGATAGATATATATCTATATGTATATAAGATTTTGCTCATAACATCAAATCTAAAGAAAGCATTTTATTCCACTGTTGAATGAAATGATGTATTATTTCTAAGTCAAAACAGAAATAACAAGAAAAATATGTGTACGATAAGTATTCTACTGTACTATCTGTATCTGTCTTTTATTTTATCTCAGAAAATTTTTCATCAGCTGTGTTGATACATGTACCTGGTTTTATATTTCATTCAATGGTTTAAACATTTTATGTGTGGCACTCTTAACCTTTTTACAAAATTCTGCCCTATACCTCATGGGTCAATTCCTCTCGAGACTTCATTTTCAGTAAAATACTGAACTTCAAATGACCTTTCTTTGGCTAACCTCAGGTGAGTTTTTCTGATCAAAATTTATGTGTTGACTTTTCACATTTTCATCTTTTTCTTCAGATCCATTGTACCAATTTTAAGCAAACTTGCCACAAAGCATTCTTTGGTGAAGGGATTCACATTTGTTCAAATGAAGGGCCACACCCTGTTTCAAGGGGAGATAATTAAGAATAAGTAAAAATTAGATGGAACCTATCAAAAACCTTCTTCTCAAAAACCTTTTGGCCAGAGAAGTTGAAACTTATGTGAAAACTTCATTACATTGTGTAGATTCAAATTTGTTCAAATCTTGACCCCCAAGGGTAGGGTGAAGCCAGTACAGGGGATCAAATTTATACGACATACCTTTTAAAATCTTCTTTCCATAATAATAAAGCCATGATTAGTAATATTAATAAAGAAAGCATCCTCAGATAGTGTAGATTCAAAGTTTGTTCAAATCATGACCCCTGGGTAAGGATGGGGCCACAATAGGGGATCAGATTCATACATATGAATTAATAGAAAAATGTGAAATATGAAGATAACGAACAGTATTCAATCTCGAAAGTTCAATGAAATGATACAAATTCAGAGCAGAGCAAACACGGACCTCAGAATTTAGAGGTGGGATCAGGTGCCATAGAGGAGTGAGCATCCCCTGCTGACCAGTCACACCCGCCATGTGCTCCTTGTTATGATTGAAAAAAAATGGAAAAATCCAGACAGTTCAGTGTATAAATAATGGCCTAACAATTAAAATGAAAAATGTTAGTCAGCAGTTGACTCAATGATAGGTTGTATGTTCTTACAAGGTCATTGAATTGACCATAAAACTTGCGAAATGATGCTGTCAAACGAGACTGTTGATATCCTTGTTTCATCAATTTGTTTGTCTATAGCTTGACTTGTTTTAGAAATTGTTCATACGTAGAGCATGCTCTTGCAAATCGAATCAACTGAGAGATATTAACCCCGTATGCAGGTGATAAGGGTATAATGCTACATAAGTAAGGGAAGCTGACGATTGAAAAGTTGAAGTCATCACTTATATTATAAAGCTTTGTTGTTAGGTTACCATTAACATCTTAAAAATCTTAAGAATAACAAAACCATTATTAGTAAAATAATACAGAAGCATCCTTATGTAATATAGATATAATTAAATATGGAGATAACGAACAGTATTCAAGCTTAAAGTTCATTTAAATAATACAAATCGGGAGCAGAGCAAACATGGTCCTCCAATATCATCAGGGGTGAGATCTGGTGAGCGATGTTACCCATGAGTCTCTTGTAAATTTGTAATAAAATTCCAAAACAGTTGATTTAAATGCAAAATTGAAATATATCTCAGAAAATTTGAGCATTACATAAATATTTGAAAAAAAATCATATTTTATTGAATTAATATGAATATCAAAGCCATGAAAGATGTAAGTTGCTTTAAAATATGAATTCATAATTTGGAACAGTGTATGCCATAGAAGGGAGCAGCCTTTCCACCCAGACACGACTGGTTGTTGCTGAAAATAAAATGTCAGACAGAATAACTGTCATACAGGGTAAAGCAGAGGTATGTCTGATAGAATAACTGTCATACAGGGTAACACAGAGGTATGTCAGATGGAATAACTGTCATACAGGGTAACACAGAGGTATGCCAGACAGAATAAATGTCATACAGGGTAACACAGAGGTATGTCTGACAGAATAATGTCATACAGGGTAACACAGAGGTATGTCAGATAGAATAACTGTCATACAGGGTAACACAGAGGTATGTAAGACAGAATAACTGTCATACAGGGTAATGCAGAAGTATGTCTGACAGAATGACTGTCATACAGGGTAACACAGAGGTATGTCAGACAGAATAACTGTCATACAGGGTAACACAGAGGTATGTCTGACAGAATAACTGTCATACAGGGTAACACAGAGGTATGTCAGATAGAATAACTGTCATACAGGGTAACACAGAGGTATGTAAGACAGAATAACTGTCATACAGGGTAACGCAGAAGTATGTCTGACAGAATAACTGTCATACAGGGTAACACAGAGGTATGTCTGACAGAATAATGTCATACAGGGTAACACAGAGGTATGTCAGATAGAATAACTGTCATACAGGGTAACACAGAGGTATGTAAGACAGAATAACTGTCATACAGGGTAATGCAGAAGTATGTCTGACAGAATGACTGTCATACAGGGTAACACAGAGGTATGTCTGACAGAATAATGTCATACAGGGTAACACAGAGGTATGTCAGATAGAATAACTGTCATACAGGGTAACACAGAGGTATGTAAGACAGAATAACTGTCATACAGGGTAATGCAGAAGTATGTCTGACAGAATGACTGTCATACAGGGTAACACAAAGGTATGTCTGACAGAATAACTGTCATACAGGATAACACAGAGGTATGTCTGACAGAATAACTGTCATACAGGGTAACACAGAGGTATGTCTGACAGAATAACTGTCATACAGGATAACACAGAGGTATGTCTGACAGAATAACTGTCATACAGGGTAACACAAAGGTATGTCTGACAGAATATCATGCAAGGTTAATCAGGTTACACATACATGAACATGGTAAAGCAGAGGTATGTCCAGGTCTAGTTTTCTTTATCTTAAGTGCATTTTAATTTGATTTTCTGATTTGTTTTTTGAAAGCTTTTTTTTTTAAGTTTTATGATTGTAACGTGAGTGGATTAAGAGTTATAACTTATACATATCTTTGAAAACGATAGATAAATCACCAATTTTTCACTGAGTAAAAGAAAACAAAATTAGAAAAAAAGATAATAAATTCTAAAGATTACTATGTATGTCTAATAATAATATTTTGCTTGAAAGACAATGTAGTTTTTGATAGGTTTTTTTTTTAAATTGAAAATGCCATAAAATCAAAATTTCTGGGTTTCCATTTTTATGTGTCCACAATATTTATTTCAAAAAAGCATTGATAAATTTGCTAACAATTAGACAGACAAAGAAAAATAGATAAAAGCAAAATACCCTTATCATTGATCTTGTGGCCATAGCATAAACTTCTGACAACCTTTAATTTAACTACTATGATTTCAAAATTCAGAATATTAAATAAAATCACCTTAAAGAAATTACTCAGAACACTGTGTCAAATCATGGTAAAGGTCTATGCACTAGGCAAAATTGCTAATCCACCACTTGTTATTCTTATTTGTGAATTGAACATTTGTCTAATCGGTACTAACATATAATATGTCATCTTTTCCAATACATATGGCAAGACCATTAAATGACCTTCTTGCCCGAAAACCAATTTCCTGACGTGCATTGCGCATCTTTTTTGCCCTGATATGAAGTTGGTGAATACCGATGGTGGTCTGTGAGGTTGTACCAGAAGCAATATCCCAGTAAAAAATCAAATATGCAGCGATTGACTACCATATGGGTGAATTAAAAAAATGACCGCCAAACTGATTTTTTTTGGCAAAATTCAATTACTTATAACATATTTTTCACTTATATCATCATATTGCAAATGCATTCTAGTTTAAAATCCTAAAGTGGCAATAGAATAGACAATTGGATTAAAAAGTTTCAGAATTTTTATGAGTAAAATTTCTTTTGAAAAAATAAAATATCATTACACCTTAAAAGACTTTCTAAAATACACAATCAAAAGAAATTATAGTTTTTTATGCTTCAAAATGGTAAAAGGGGTATAAATGATTAAATGTAGACCTTGATTGAGTATCTTCTCTTGTACATGTGACAAAAAATGGGCTTTTTGATTGTTATTTTACATTATTTTTTCAATTCTGGTTTGAAAAGTTTTAATATGAAAAAAATATGAAGCAATAAAATTCCCCAAAATTCACTTTTTTGTCCGTTCAAGTCAATTCTTTAAATCTAAGCCAAAAAAGAAGTGTTATATACGAGTTCTCTTACGAAAAATACTAGATTTTGAAGTGACCCTATGTTACATTATTGTGTTGCACTCCTGACATCTGATATGTATTTTATTTAACATTGTTTTAAAAATTATAACACACAATAACCCATTCTTACTTTGTAAATCAATTTGTCGTTTTGATATTTTTCATTGTTTACAGCAGGTTTTTCATATTTTGAAGACCTTAAAACATGATTATTTGCAAAGTGTAATATATATAAATTTTATTTAAAATATATGTGAAATGATGAAAACTATTCCCTGAATTGACTGTAAAATTTCTGTAATTTGTTGATAGACATAGTGTTTTGAACATCAAATAGTATCAAGCATTTTTTTGCAACTTATTTTTTAGTAAAGATAGTTAAAAAGCATTGGTAATTATAAAGCAGTTTTGTTGCACTCCTGACTGCAGTAAAGTTTAAAATTAAAACCATAGAACACAAAAATTCATAAAGTGTTGGCAACATCAAGTGGTAATGAAATTGTGCGATACCTATAGTCCAATACTTCATAATTAAGACAGATGAAAGTATTTAAAATTCGCATTTTATCTGGAATTATACCCTATTTTATGCCAAAAAACTAGCTTAAATGTATATTTAGAAGATAAAATATATTTTAAAGCATATTTTCCTTTAGAGGACAAACACAGTAACCCACCAGAAAAATTCTACTCATCATTTTTTCTTTATTTTTATTCTTAGTGGATGATTTATAATTCTAACATATTTGTTGCACTCCTGACCAAAAGCATTGGGGCCTTTAAGAGTAGAATTGTGAAGTGAAAATTACATAAGAACTTGTTCTGTTGTTTCAGTGAAGTTGAGGAGGAATTACTTGAATTTAATGACAATGTTTTAGTGTGTTTATTTTTAACGTTCATTAAAAAAAATCACAAAAAGATAAAAACACATCTGAATTGATAAAATTGAAAAAGGAAGGATTTTAATAAAAAAAAAACTATCAATAATTTAGCATTAAATTATACAAAAAGATCATTATTAATTAATGAATACCTCTAAGCATGAATAGAAATCTTTTCGACACACAACTTGAATCTTTAAAAAAATGTGTTGCACTCCTGACCATAGAAATATGGATCTGAAGCACAGACAGATGCTGTAATTGATAAATCTATTTGGTAAAAATGTTCTTTGTGTCTTTATTTTCCAAAATAAAAATCAGAAAATCAAATAATGATAATAGTTTTTTCATGTTTGGGAGCAAAACATCAAATGTTGCACTCCTGACATTTTTGGGTATGCACATATACTTGACTCTCATTAATACTGCTTGTGATTTAGATAACATTTTTAAGTTTTAAATTGTATATCAGTTATTATTTTACACTTCCAAAAATTCTTTTTTGTCTTAATTTTCTATCAGAATTTTACAATTGATGTTTTTTTGGCAACACTACATTTTTTCTGTTGCACTCCTGACATAGTATAACATTTTTTTAAACATCAGTCATGACCACAACTTGATTAAACAAAAGTTATGACAGTCCACATTTAAAGCTCAATACTTTGAACATTATCAGGAAAGTCTTTATTTTCAACATGAAGTATTGTTTTTTTTATTTCACAGATCTCCAAAAAATATTGAAATTTCAAAATGTCACAAAAAGGTGTTGCACTCCTGACAATTTTAGCATCATTTTTGGGCGTAACTTTTTTGTTAATTGAGATATCAACGAGATATTTGGCAGGTATTTAGACACTATCTAAAGACATATGCTGAGACATAGAAATCTATTTTTATTGCCTGTATTTTTAGTGTGGGTTGATAAATATGCGTTTGGTCATTTTTTTTTTTGAATTCACCCATATCGCTTTAAGTAGTCCTCCAGTGCCTTGGTGTTTATACCCAGTCCACCCAACTTCCCGTTGCCCCAGTTTTGTGGAACAATCCTGAAATGGTAGTGTGGTGCTTACTTAATGCCGTTTATCTATTTGAAACAATTGTTCACTAGAGGAATAAATAATCTTTTAATTGTTTTAATTTTTTATAAATTTCTCCAAAGGAACCCTCTGCAGACACCATACTCACTGCTTTCATATGCTCTCCTGGGGTCAAACGCTGCATACGGTGTAATTTTTTTCTGAGATTTTAATTAGTACAAACATAAAGAACACAAACACAAAGAGAAAAAAAAATAGAAATTTATTCCTCCAAAAAGTAGGCACACGATTTTCATTTTTTCCCCTATGAAATGGTTACGCTTCAGTTAACATTGTTGTTATTTATCAATTAAGACATTTAAATGCATTATCTTTTACTCAAGTAACATACTTATACACAAATACATCATAAACAAGTTCTGAATAGTAAAATGTTAATTTTCTTCGGTGGTGCGTTAGCAATTTTGTCTAGTGTATGCCACCAGAGACTTATAATAATCTCTTATACCTCTCAACAAAAAGTCAGATCAAATGCCTGTATGCTTATGATAGGATATCAAATAAACTAAAATGTACTGCTTAATAAATGAAATTAATTATTACATGGTCTCTTATCACCTTGAAAATATTAACAATAACAAGATCTCACCTGATCTTTAAATGTTCACCATTACGAGATGTCACATCAGTTTAATAAATTAATCATACACCATTCTCACATTATCATTATAATAAGACTTATTAAAGGTAAGTTGTTAGGTTTTATGAGAGTTATTGCTGTGTTTTGTCCGTGCATTTTTCTACGCGTGAGTATACACGATTGATTGATTTATAGTATGTTTTTTACGTCCCATTTGACAATTTTTCACTCATATAGAGACCTCACCATATACCAGTAAAGGACTTCAAATTTAAACCTTTACTCGGCACTCGGGACCATTGAGCAGTGAGGGATCTTTATCGTGCCAACTCCTTACGTGACACTGGGGCCTCGGTTTCTGAGGCCTCTTCCGAAGGACCCGCATCTTCACCGAGCCTAGCCCTTGGCGAAGGAACTGTTGTTAACCTATTTTTTATCGACTTAAGTCAGTTGCGCCCGAGATTCGAACTCAGGACCTTCCGATCAATGAGTGAGCGCTCTACCGACTGAGCTACCGTGACGGTGAGTGTACACGAAAGTGGCATTCAAATCAATTTCATAGTTGGTTAGGTAGAAAAACACAGCAAATGTACATATTACGAAATGTTACCTCAACTTTGTAATATAAAACATTACAAGATGTTTTGTTATTTACATTTGTAATATAGATCATTTAATTACAAGATGTTGATTCACATTTCGACCATGATTATTCTAAGATGATATTTCATCTTTAAACATTAATTATTACAAGATGTTACTTCATTAAAACATTAAACCTTGGGTGATGATATATCACCTTTATAAAATTAATCATTTAACAAGATGTTACATCGCCTGAAAAACATTAATATCTACAAAAGCTATCACCTTTAAAAACTCTCTATTACAATATGACACATTACGTTTAAATATCAATTCTAACAAAATGTCACATCAGCTTTAAACTATTGATCATTACAAATTGTCTCCTAAAATATAAATTGATTGATTGATCGATTGTTTGTTGTTTAACGTCTCGAGAGAAAATTTTTCACTCATATGGACACGCCATCACTTGCAGGTGGAGGGCTACAAATTTTGACCTATACTTGGCACTCAGGGCCCTTGGGCAGTGAGGGGATCTTTTTTCGTGCCAGCACTTATTGCGACACGGGACCTCGGTTTATACGGTCTCATCCGAAGGACCGGATTCTACGTCCCGCAGTGGGATTCGAACCCGCGCCTTAAGGATCAACCCCTTACTGCGCGACTCTAGAGCAAATGCTCTAACCACTGCGCCATGCGGGCGACTCTAAAATATAAACCTAAAATATAAACGATATTAATACGTCAAATAATCTTCGAATACTACATGTACCAAATTATTATGTAAACCATATTCTTTTTAACAGGATGTCAGGTTACCAGAAAAAGTGGATGTTATAGTTAGTGAGTGGATGGTATGTATACCGAGATGTATTTGTCATTCAGAGTTTATTCTACTTCACAATGAAATGTATACAGAGACAGTTTTGTAATTCAGAATCAACATTTTTTTTATATCAAGATGTTTTGAGATGAAATATATGGAGATAACGAACAGTATTCAAGCTCAAAAGTCCATTAAACAATACAGAATAGGAGTAGAGCATACACGGACCTCCAAAACATCAGAGGTGGGATCAGGTGCCATGGAGGAGTGAGCATCCCCTGCCGACCGGTCACACCCGCCGTGTGCTCCTTGTCATGATCGGGAAATAACGGGAAAATCCGTCGACAATCTATTAATAATAATTTTTTGAGGGCATCTTTATCTTTTTTGTCAGAAAACTGTGGCTGATTACACTCCACTCCTCGAATGGAGATCAATCTGGGTTTCCAACAACGATTAATCTTTTGCTAATGAAGTGAGGACATGACGAGTCCGACATGTGGAAACATCTGAGATTTGATTTTATTCATAATGTTCTGATAATGATTTACTTTGTAGGGGTTTTCCTTGGTCTAGGACTGTTTTGTTTTTTATATTATACAATGAGTGTCTTCAATACCTAGAGTACACTCAAAGAATAAGGAATAGCCAGTTTGCCAGTAAAATCGACTGTGCAGAGGTATCGTCCCTTGGTACCCTCTGTATTCAAGTTACCATTTTTATACCCCTCGCAAACGAAGTTTGGGGGGTTATGTTGAAATCAGCATGTCTGTCTGTTTGTCCGTCCTTCTGTCTAGCTGTCTATAAACGTGATTTTGTCCGAACCTGTTCTCGGAGACTATTGCATATATTTGTCTGAAATTTACAGGCATATTCCTTGCTCCATGAGTGTGTTGTTTTATATGTAGTCAGATTTATTTTTCAGGGCTATCCCTTGCTCTATGAGTGTTTTGTGTTATGTTATATATCTACTTTTCAGGGCTATTCCTTGTTCTGTGAGTGTTTTGTGTTATGTTATAAATCTACTTTTCAGGGCTATTCCTTGCTCTATGAGTCAATGTTACCTTCAGTCCTTCATATCAGAGATCATTGGATGAAAAAGGTATTTGTAGTTTGATTACATGCATTAATGCATTAGAATTTTTTTCATTTCTTCCATGATTCAGAGAGCAATTACTTTCATTGACATGTTGAAAGGTTAACAATTCTTTTATAATTTGACAATAGATGGATATGAAATATGGAGATAACGAACAATATTCAAGCCCAATGTCCATTAATACAATCGGGAGCAGAGCAAACACGGACCTCCAAACATCAGAGGTGGGATCAGGTGCCATGGAGGAGTGAGCATCCCATGCCGACCGGTCACACCCACCGTGTGCTCCTTATTATGATCGGGAAATAATGTTTGGTCAAGATATTGTAACCAAACATATTAAACTCACCTTTCAATGTCTTTTGACAAAGAGTTTCCTGGCTTCTTTTTCCCTACCTTCACACATTGGTGTTTTTAATTGCTTTAATTTTATAGTCATTTAATTAAGGCACTTTTATAGGTTGATTGCTCAATATCTTTTATCCGAGTAATGCTTAAGGTATAATGCTAGTTTTATAATTAAAGATATAGATAAGCCATTTTAAGTTGAACTTCTTAGTTGTGTTTTCTACAATTTATTTCGGCTATGTTTTAATCTGAAATCAAACGAAATGTTGTTTCTGGGGTTTGATTTTCTTTGTAATATAAAAAAACCTATAAATCCTAGTCCTCCCAAATGTTGCATTTTCAAACTACAGTATCATGTATCTACTTTATGCACGAAATTCAAGCTACATGAACCAATATATTTTCCTCCAACCCAGAAAATGTTATTTTACAGTAATTTGTGAATTTCAGGGTGGATTAATGCTTCCTTCCTCTGCTGTGCTATATATAGCCCCGTTTTCCGACGATGAGATAACAGAAAAGTACGTGCATAGAGACTCTTTCTAATGGTCGGCAAAATAGTCTTTAGAAAGATTGAAAATTCTCTTAAAGATAAAAAATATCTTACAAAAAAGAATCACTTTTATGAGCATTTTATTGTAAAATGATGTTCAGAAACCTTTTATTCTGTATTCTTGACACTGTATAGACTGGAGATTTGGAGTGAAATGAAGGACAGATATAAAGTATCAATGGACTGCATGAAAAACTATGCCAGGCAGTGCATATCACGTAAGGACATTAGACACATTTTTGTTGAATACATTCTAGTTCTTGTGGTACAATGTACATATGAAATATTCACTTTTTTTGTGGCAGGTGGGGCACATGTGCGTTGTGTTTCTCCAGAAGACATTATATCCCATGGTTACCCTTTAGTTACCTTTGACCTACATAAAGTGTCCATCTCAGACATTTCTGATATTCAGGTGAAGAAAAAAATATGAGGAATATTGCTCTTGGTTATTTAAGCTTTTGTTTTGTTTTTTCTTCTTTCTTTTTAAAAAGCATCAACAAGTTACGTTTTGTATTTATGTTTCTTTTTTTTAGGTCACCTGAGTCACTCAGGTGACCTATTGCTATCCGTTCTCGTCCGTCGGCGTGCGTCGTGTGTTAACATTTGAACATTTTTAGTTTCTTCTCTGAAACCGCTTAACCAATTTCAACCAAATTTGGCATATAGCATCTATGGGTGAAGGGGAACAAAAATTTTGAATTTCATGGTCCCTGCCCCCCTGGGGCCTGAGGGGTGGGGCTGAAACCACCAAAAATAATGCAATCTTTAAAAATCTTCTTCTTTACTCCTGGACATCAAGCAGTCAAACTGTTGGCATCATTGTAATAAGCATTGAGCCCTCTACCAAAATTGTGAAATTCATGGCCCAGGATCAGGGGTTCTGGTGTTAGGGCAGGGCTCTATTGATTATATAGTGAAAATGTATTAATTCTTTGAAAATCTTCTTCTCTGCTCCTGGGTATTAAATAAAGTAACTAAGTACATTGTTATGATGAGCAAGAGTGCTTCTACCAAAATTGTGAATTTCATGGCCCCAGGGTCAGGGGTTCTGGTGTTAGGGCAGGGCTCTATTGATTATATAGTGAAAATGTATTAATTCTTTGAAAATCTTCTTCTCTGCTCCTGGGTATTAAATAAAATAACTAAGTACATAGTTATGATGAGCAAAAATGCCTTTTCAAAAATTGTGAATTTCATGGCCCCAGGGTCAGGGGTTCTGGTGTTAGGGCAGGGCTCTATCGACTATATAGTGAAAATGCATTAATTCTTTGAAAATCTTCTCCTCTGCTCCTGGGCATTAAGGTGATAAACTAAGTACATAGTTATGATGAGGAGGTGGGCCTCTTCCAGATTTGTGAAAGCCATGGCCCCTGGGTCAGGGGTTCTGGTGTTAGGGTGGGGCTCTATTGATTATATAGTGAAAATGCATTAATTCTTTGAAAATCTTCTTCTCTGCTCCTGGGTATTATTTAAACAAACTAAGTGGATGGTTATGATGCATAAGGATGCCTTTTCAAAAATTGTGAATTTCATGGCCCCAGGGTCAGGGGTTCTGGTGTTAGGGCGGGGCTCTATCGACTATATAGTGAAAATGCATTAATTCTTTGAAAATCTTCTCCTCTGCTCCTGGGCAATAAGGTGATAAACTAAGTACATAGTTATGATGAGGAGGTGGGCCTCTTCCAGAATTGTGAAAGCCATGGCCCCTGGGTCAGGGGTTCTGGTATTAGGGTGGGGCTTTATTGATTATATAGTGAAAATGCATTAATTCTTTGAAAATCTTCTTCTCTGCTCCTGGGTATTATTTGAACAAACTAAGTGGATGGTTATGATAGGCAAGGATGCCTCTTCCAAACTTTTTAAATATATGGCCTCAGTTTTTGGGGTTCTTGAGGAGGGGGGCTCTATTGATTATATAGTGAAAAAGCATTAATTCTATTAATTAATCATTAATTAATCCTGTCTGCTCCTTAGTGTTGAGCTGATAAATAAATTGCTTAGCTATGATGAAAATGGGAGCTTTGAACAGAATTTTTAAATCTTGTGGTCCTAGGGTCAGGGGTTCTAGCATAACGAGGGAGGGGGGCTTTTGATAATATAGTGGAAAAGTGTTAATTCTTTGAAGTCCACAGTTATGATGATGAGGGTAACTCTTCCAAATTTGTAAATTTCTTGACCCTTGGTCTTGGGTTCTGGTGTTAGGGTAAGGCTTTGTTGAATCTGTAGTGAAAATGCATTGTACCTGTGAAATTCTTCTCTGCTTCTGGGCATATCGGAAGCAAACTGAGTAAAAGTTTAAATGATATAAGTAACCGTATTTCTACCAGATTTTTGAACATCTGGACCATTTGTCTAAGCATTCTGGTCCTGGGCAGGGCTCTATTAATTTCTATTCTTCTGAGAGAAGTTATTCCCCTTTTCCATTCACCTTTGATAATTAATCACTGTGAATAATGTATTTGAAAGGTTAATAGAATAAGATAATTATGCAAGAATGTTTATCGTATAATTCAAAAAGTACTTTCTTAGTTTTAATAATCAGGTAGACCTGTAAGTAATAGATAAATAAAAATGAGACAAAAATAACTTATCTTATTAAAAGTTCTTCAAAGACCATAAGAGAGGTCAATGCTAGAGGTCTTAATATTGGTTTAAAAATAGTACAGAAGCTCTAATAGTTTGTTAATAGTCTGCATGGTGATAGTGTTAAGTAGGGGGGGGGGGGGGGGGGGGGCAGATTAGAACTTAATTGATGAGTTGATACTGAATACTAGACTAATTATTTTAATGATCCTGATCTTCCTACTTCTCTTGCTTTAGGGCAACAAAGCTTCATTTATCAGTGTATTTAACTTCTAAATCGTTGTATTATACTCAGGTGACCGTTAAGGCCCTTGGGCCTCTTGTTTCATATACTTGTAAATAGTTTGGCACTTTCAAAAGACGTCTTTTGTTTTTCTCAAGTTTGTTTTTTCTACATAGTTATGATAAATCGTGTATTTTTCAAAAGTTACAGATTAAATTAAATGTAACATTTATATCGATTTGATTGTAATATTCCAGAGAAAATTTGAGCTGTCCTGTTTTGGGTCGTCAATCTTCCATGGGTTTGTGTTATGGTTTACCGTCACATTTCCAGAAAATGTTGTCCTTTCCACTTCTCCTTATTCACAGTGAGACATCTATATTACTATTAATCACTTTTTCGCGAGAACTTTATTTTTTGCGTAATTTCGCGACACAGTGTGCTCTCGTAAATTTCATTCTCGTGTATATTAGTATTCCTTAAGATTATACAGAGCAAAAGAAACACAATTTGTGAAAATTTTGTCTCGTTAATAAAGATTTAATGACTATCTTCTATCTCACGAGAATAAGGTGTTTCGAAAATAAAGTGATCTACAGTATTCTACCATAAAATAATTCTCGTTTTATCACAACCTGAAAAATCTTCTTTGGCAGTAAGGGAATGTAACACCAATAATTTACTGATGAATATGTTAAAGAATTCATGCAGGTATTTTAAAATTCTTTTATAAATATGTAAACCCAAGTATGTTTTTTCCGAAATATCAGTATCACTTAAATTTTGATTTTCAACATAAAAACAGACCTTTATATTTATACTAGAGAGACACACTGGGGACAGACCTTGTTCTATAATGACACAGAGATAGAGGTGAAGCAGGACACAAGGATTTGTGGGAATCTATCTATAAAACCAAACAGAAATAAGCCAAGGTAAAACCAGGCTTTATATATATATTATTATAACAGTAACTTGATCCGAAGAGTCGTATCACGTCGAGTTGACAGGCGCGGATCATCAGATCAAACGAGATGCGAAGCAGTGATTGCATAAATTCGACAGTAAAACTGAGTGACAAACAGTTGGGTATATAATAAATTGGTATATCGTAGTACCTCGGCTGAACTGTTGTTAACTTATTGCATGTAATTAAAAGCTGTGGTACCAAGAACGTTGGCCATCAGATGGCCCTAACAAAAAAGCACTATAGTAAATTATAGTTTACTATAGTTAGCTATAGTATCAAAGTTTTCACTATAGTATATAAAAAGCACTATAGTAAATTATAGTTTACTATAGTTAGCTATAGTATCAAAGCTTCACTATAGTATATAAAAAAGCACTATAGTAAATTATAGTTTACTATAGTTAGCTATAGTATCAAAGTTTTCACTATAGTATATCAATTTGGAAGTATTTTTTGTGTGTAAGCGGGTTGAAGATGACCATATCAAGAAAACTCTTTGATACTCGGGTAATCCTTGCTCTCTTGTCGGAAGGATTTAACACGGGGAAGGCGAATTGGATTGGGGAAAGGTGGGGGAGTGATTTTCACCAGCATTTTCATAATTATTTCTTTTGTCATCAACTCTTTAGCTCCACAAAGTTGTATTGTATGTGATATTTTTAATTACATTTCAAATGACTTTCTTGCCGAAAGAACGCTCAGTGAATTTGAAGAAGTTGATACAATTGAATTCCTCCATTCTTGACATTAGATAGAAACGTCCGAAAATTTTTATTCACATTCATTTCATTGTTTTTTTTTTAATTATCCTCAGCCATTGTAATATTTCCCATTAATTTTTAGTGACTTACGATTCAAATACTAGTATCAGATTATTTTTCGCCGCCCCAGTGAACACATAAAGCCGTTAAATAAAATAAATGAAAGTGTGTTTAGTTCATCGATTACAATGACAATATCTACAAAGCTTCAAATATAGTGAATGAAAAATGTTTTGTAGCTCATTTTGAGATATCAAATTTTGGGGACGGTCAGGGCATGTAACACTTTCCTCAAAAGTGCATTTAAAAATGAATTATATCCCCTTTCAACAATGACTTTATACTAGCGATATGTATAGGACTGAATCGAACCACCATAGGAAAAAATACCATGTAGACAGTTTGTAATTTATATTTTATTTTGCTATGGATATACATAAACATAAGAATAATCTAATACAAAATGAGTTCAGTGATTTTGATTTATAACTTTTTTATACAATTAATGTAACATTAGTATTATATATTAAGAAAAAGTGTGATTCATCAATCTCCTTCAACAATTGCGTTTAGCTGTGTCATTTAGCTTTTTTTTTCTCTAAGTGATCTGTTTCAACTTCACATTCTAGTAGGCGAATCAGAATGACAAGATTCCAATATTGCCACTGAAGCTATAACGTTAGTTTCACTTTTGATTTTGGGTTCGAAGGAAATTAAATACATTTCTTCCATTGTTGGTCACCTTATTTAATTTTAAATTCAAACACAGCTTAATAAGGTCAAGATTGTTGACATTAGAGTTGATCATACATGTATAGACCTTTTTTTTTTCAGATAAAGGTAAATAATAATAAGAAGTTAATCATGACATTTGGAGTTGACCTTGAATTATTCAGATAGCTCTGTTGTAAGAAATTAAGGGGGGTTGTTCCAGTGATTTTGTAAGCGTATTGTTATGTGTACAAGTGGTGAACATTTTCTCAATAATGTAAAACAAAACAGCTATCGTCTCCCTCTCCCCGTTGAAAACGATTCTTGTAGACGTGTGTAATGATCATTTACTTCAAATCTGTGTGAAGATTTAATATTTAAGTAGTAGTATCTTGTTCTCTTCTTCAGCAATTTACCCTGCAGGATTTGGTTTATTGAATATTTAGGTGATACAGAATTGATGAATATGATCATAATTCTATTTGAGCAATGCATGCTTGTTTCTAATGATACGATCACTGATTTCTTTGCTTATGTTTTCAGATTTCTGGATGTACATATAAGTTACCAAGTGGACAAAGACGATATAAAACAGAAATATTACTATATGAGTGACAATATAACATGAACAAGTGTGTTGGTGGAGAAATAGTTTGTGGGCATCCATGCTATGGATACAAGTGTGGAAACCTCCTTAAAGGGTTCAAGTTTGAATATTCTCTCAAGGAAGATATTTTTGTATTTTTGTTAAACCTTATGCAAAGTAATGGAGCATACAAAAATATTAATAAATGAAAATGGTCTAAACACGGAATTATCTTATCGTAGGCGATATATTCCTAAAGATTCGCTAATATGTGTGCTGCCAATATGACAGCTAGAAAAAGTTCTCTTAACAAAAATGCACAGCAGACAAATATCTTTCTTGTATAAATGCATGCAAATTCAAGGAAACAAAATTTCTATTAGAAGAAGTGGTTTCTCGTATATGAACATAAAGTATTATAAGAGAAAGGTTTTTAATGTAAAAACAGTTAAAAGAATCCACACTAGACCGCGTGACATTGTGACGATCTCCCCTGCATTGGTGCCATCAGAAACCCCACTTTTTTCAGTGGAAGGAGGATTTCCTCCTGAGAAAGGTATTGAGGAGGATTTTCCTGGGGATTGTGTTGGAGCAAAAGTCATTGGAGCCCTCGTCTTAGGTGCTCGAGTCGGTGGAGCCTGAGTCGTCGGTTTGCTCGCTTGTCCTGTTGAGGGGATTATGAGACCATGCCCCGTGTAGAATGGAAAAGGAGTAGTTGCAGGTTTTGGTGCTGTAAAATTAGAATTGCAATGCATCTTTCAGTACAAACAAATATATTACTAGACGCTGTCATAAGATAGTAATACCCATACGTAAAGTGTTTGCATGTAAATGCACTCTCCTTCTTCCGGTTAACCAGCGAAGAAGCCACAATAGTTTTTTTTTTTTTTTTTTTTTTTTTTTTTTTTTTTTTTTTTTTTTTCCTGAATATGCATGTATAAAGTGTATACATGTATAAAACCCTCTCTGGTGAGCATGTGATCCAAAGGCCTCATATATAAGTATATATTTCTTCAAATTCATTACTAGTCTGAAATTTGATAAAGCTTAAATTCTGTTAAAAAGAAAGTTTTTGGAAAGAAGGTTTTAAGAAAAAAAAGATGCATTTTAAGGAACCCTAAATAGTTACTCAGAACGAACTAGTTTTAGCGCAATAGTCCCTCAGAAATTACTAACTAGTTCTGGCGTATTTAGGACTAAGATATTATTAGTTTAAGCGTATAAATAGCTCAGAACAAACTCGGAACTTACTTATTTTATTTATGACTCAAAAAGTACTAGTTTAAGTATCTATAACATAAAACTTACCAGTTTCAGCGTACCTATAACAAGGACTTATTAGTTTTAGCGTATATTACGTATCTCAGTCAAAACTTACTTATTGTAGTGTATTAAAAACTCATAACTTACTTGTTTACGCATATCAGTAACTCATAACCTACTTGTTTTAGCGTATCAATAACTAAGAACTTACTAGTTTTAGCGTATCAATAACTCAGATCTTATTTGTTTTAGCGTACCTATAACTAAGACTTATTAGTTTTAGCGTATATCTCAGTCAAAACTTACCTATTCTATACTCTACTTATAACATACTTGATTAAGCATATCAGTAACTCAGAACTTATTTGTTTTAGGGTATCGGTAGCTCAGAACTTACTAATTTTAGCGTATCGGTAACTCAAAATGTATTTATTTTTAATTAGCGTATCAGTAACTCAGAACTTACATTTTAGTGTATCAGTAACTCAGAACTTTTTTAGCATATCAGTAACTCAGAACTTATTTGTTTTTGCGTATCAGTAACTCAGAACTTACATTTTAGTGTATCAGTAACCCAGAACTTTTTTAGCATATCATTAACTCAGAACTTACTTGTTTTAGCGTATCAGTAACTCAGAATTTACTAGTTTTAGCGTATCATTAACTCAGAACTTACTTGTTTTTGCGTATCAGTAACTCAGAACTTACTTGTTTTTGCGTATCAGTAACTCAGAACTTACTTGTTTTAGCGTAGCCCATGGGTGGACAGTTGATCCCAATCATCAAGGAAAGAGTTTCCAGTATCCACGCTTCTTGATAAGCTGTTATCGCCTTCACAGCATTCGTGTCATCTGGGCACTCTGTCCCGATAAGTGTCTCGATACATTCAACATAATTTTTGGCTTCTCTGAAAGAAGAAAATATTTTTTAATCATTAAATAAATGATATATCATTGGATTTCTGTAAAATATAGGAATTACTTAGTTATTACTAGTGAATGAAAGTTAACCCAAAATTTGTTGATGTGTGTTAAAATTGCAACCAATATCACGCAAATGTACCTGTAAAACAACTTTACTATTCAATCCACGATTAAATTATCATTATGCTTACATTACATGTATGTTTCTGCCAAATTTTATAGCTCACTTCAATGTACCAAAAATTAAGTAATACTTGTATCTAAAATGATCTGATTAAATTGGACAACTTTTTTTTTTCAATTTAGCTCATACCTTATTAATAATGAAAGTATTACGCTTTGATATTTTCCCATCATGCTTTGAAAATTCTTTAGATATTTCAAGTTAGATGTGAAGAGCTAATTGATATTTGAAAAATTTGAAAATAAAGTAATGCTTCAAGGTTAAGAATATTCAGTGCATATTTTCCTTAATGAACTATATTAAGGTAGGTTAAAGATCAAGTTCAAGGACATAAGGACATTATCCAAAACTTTAAAATTTCAAAACAATTTCCTCCTTTTAAATACCTGCAGAGCTGAACCTCATTCGGCTCGCCAGCGAATGTGATCGACATCAGAGGGTTGGCACAGGTGGTGTCCACATTGGACTGTATCTCCGTCTTATCGTAACACTTGTCCGCAGATATCGTCAGGTCTATGTAGGAAATAAAAACATTTATGTACACTTAAATTCACTAATTCAGACAACTTTGATAATAATAAGGTGGTGCCCTAACTAATAAGTCTTAACTAATAAGGTGGTGTCCACATTGGACTGTATCTCCGTCTTATCGTAACACTATCAGGTCTATGTAGGGAATAAAAACATTTATGTACACTTAAATTCACTAATTCACTTAAATTCACACTTAAACAAAGTTATCTGTAGACTTACCTAAGACGTGTTACAGAGTCTGTAAACAAAGTTATCTGTACACGTACCTAAGACGTGTTCTTTACAGAGTCTAGAAACAAAGTTGTCTGTAGACTTAACCTGTAGAAGGAACTCTGGAAACGGATTAATGCGTGTTTTCTCACAGATGAACATAAGAGGATCCATGCAGGGACTGTACTGGAAGTACGCTCTGGTAAAACAAAACTTTGACCATGTGATATTTGTTCCAATAACTTTTGGGACTCTGTCATTATACATTCTTCTTTTAGTTTGTATTGGAGGGGAGGGGACTGGAGATTGCCTCTTAAACTAGCTGTTCAATCATTATAGAGAAGTTTAACAACATCAGTGTATTTTGGGACTGTGAAACCGAGATTTTCAGGAATTTTAGAATCAAGTATCATGCTAAAATGGGAACATTTAGAACATTCAAAAAGAAAAAAACAAACAAACAAATATTTTCAGTACACATTTAGTAAATTTTTCATTGGGAGAACTTCCACGACATTTTTGGGAAAATATAGGCATATAAATGTACATAATAAAATCTAATTATTACAAATGGGCCCTGAAGTTATCTGATAGGAATTGGCTCCTAAACATTACTGAGCCGTTAAATCGTTGATGGCTCTTCGAATATTCAGCTATATGGGAACTTCTTAAGATTTATTATTCCTGAGAATGTGTTCCTTGTAAGAAAGATTTTTAGCTCACCTGAGCAAAAGACTCTAGTGAGTTTTCCTGATTAAAACTAGTCCGTTATCAATCGGCGTTGTCCTCATGCGAATAAATTTTTCATATTTTCGTCTACTTCTCCAGAACATAAGGGTCATTTTCAAGCAAATTCGGTACATGGCATCCTAGCTTGGGTGAAGAAGATTCAAGTTTGTTAAAATGAAGGGCAATGCCCTTTGCAAGGAAAGTTAACCAACAAAAAGCAAATATAGGCCCATATATATCTACGACCGAGTGCTATGTCGAGTCGGTCATTTAATAATCTTTTCAATGAAAAAGTGCAGATAAAGAACAGTGAACTCAGGGTTACTGGGCCGGAAAAAATAGCGGTAAGGTGGAGCATTATAGGGGGATCAAAGTTGTGCATGAGAATTTAAAAGGAAAAACTTTTTTTAAATTCTGATGGAAAACAGCAGGCCATGAATAAGCATATATATTAATATGAAAGTTTTATATGAGTTATTGGTCACATCGCAGCTATGTTAAGGCTTCCCGAGGCTTTAAAATGCGCTTAAAACATAATATGTCATTGCGAGGTCGGTTTTGGTTTAAATTTATAAGTATTGAACTTTAGTACTTCCAATTTATATAGAGGGTTTCCTCGGCTATATATATTAACATATTTGTTAAGATGTCACGTGACTTTGATGTTCACGTGACGGTCATTTATAGTTTTTTGAAGTGTTTCATATAAATCGGTTCGGCGCAGCTGATTAACACAATAATTATTAACATATTGTTATATAAATGAACTCATCGTATCCTTGTGTATCCGAAATGTGCTTGGGAAAAGTCCTAGTATTACTTGGGTACAAAATATTTCGTGCGAAATTCAACTTACCTACAAAATTGAGGGTATTTTCCACACAATATCGTTATCTGTATTAAAACAAAGCCAACACACATTTTTCCCAACCAAGATTCAGTTTGAGAACAACCTCTTTCAGATTTTCACAAAAATTCTCAGATTAATCCTCATTAATCACCTGCGCCAGACTTTTTTATACACACAAAATAAATTCTACCTCCAACCACGGGTATAAAACAGAGTACATTTCAAAAGTATATTTTTCATAATCATTTTGAAACATGCTGAATTTCAATCAAGGGTAGGTAAGCGGTGTATTTTTAAAATAATCGGACATATAAGACTTAAAAATTCTATAACGACCTGTGAATTTTGCAATAGCTATCTAGCATTTTACATGCAGTTTGAAATAAAGTGTAAAGTTCATGACACTCTCCCCGTCATAACACCTCAAGTTCGCAGTGACTTGACGTCATTTTCCATTATGACGTCATATTTTGGTAGTTCATAGAAGTGAAGGCACAGAGTGCACAGTGATATTCTTCAGGAAGCCTT